CATTTAATGCTTAACGTATCTAACGGATTTAGTTGGATAAGTTGTAGTAATGTATTAACCAGATTATTACAGATATTAACCAGATATAAATGGGTACTGTAGGTTATCCTTAGGAGATAGACATATACCATTAGTGACTTTTTTGTAGATCTTTTTAAGATATACAATTCCGTAGTACATTATCTTGGTATATCCCATAAGGATTGGTTAGTGTTTGCAATGTAAGCGAGTAAAACCATGGTTTTACGACAAATCTTTGAAATTCTCGGATTTTCTTTACTAAAATATGTATGTCTTATACACCTCATATAAACCTCTTGAATCACTTTTTTAAAAGATCTAAGCGGACAACATAAAAAAGCGACTGTATTTTATACTATGTAAAGATAGTCATCGAATATCTCGAATGCCAGTAGCGGTGATTTAACATAGTGGCACTGTTGTCGTGGTCGGAGGTCATCATTAATCGGATTTTAAATTTTTGTGCTGATTTTGCTTCGTTTGCTCTTTTTATCTACATTGTAACATGTTTTGTAGTTCTAAGTAAATCTTTTTTTTTGTGTTATTTGGATTTTTTTGTCTTTGTTTTGTATTTTATTAAACATAATAATGTTGCTGAACTGCGTTGCTATTTCTATTGCCTTGAGTGTCTAATCAAACTTCGACATTTTCTGGTCTTTTCTAGGTACTGTCAATGCTTTTAGCTCCTAACCAGGCTTTTTTTTTCTCTTGATATCGCTACCAGAGAAGAAACGACAGCCAGTATCTATTAATATACCACATGTATCGATTTTGTGAAACAGCAAAGTTACGTGGATCGCAACATGTTAATTTACGTGCCACCATAAATAGCCTACGACGTTCGATGAGGTGACGATATCCAGACACAGGATGCCATAAATGTAGGTACCACAAAACATACTGTATTTAGACACATACTGCATTAGCTTTTACTTTCATTAGGTCTTTTATACCTTTAGATATGTTTTATTTTTTTGGTATTTATACGAGGTCGCTCTTACGTAAGTACAGTACGTATTGATTGTCTCTTGTACGAAACAGACCCTTGAAGCCCAGTCTAAAATGGATAAAGAGAACGAGTAAAATTATAAAAATCTTAATTTTATCTTTTAGACAGATACAAGTAGCGAAATAATAACTAGAAGTTAAATAGTTATTTAGTTCAATAAATCGTCCATGACTGCCAATTGGATAGCTAATAAGTCAATAATCTGTGGCCTCAAAACTTTGTACTGTTAACGATGGTACTTCGTGACGGCTCAGAGTGTCAACTGATCGTTTCTTCTTTTTTATTATACCAACAATTTTCTAAACGACACTACAGAAATTTTCATAATTACCAAACACAATCAGTGGATGATTTACACAGTGCGCTTCATAAACATACCCACTTATGCAGTTTTTACCGTGGAAGAGCCATGCATTATATACACATGTAGGACAGCCCGACCGGCGTGATATCACGGACTCATAGAAAATCGGTGTTAAGCAATTCAACTTGTTTTTCACCAAGTAAGTGAGGTTACTTTAGTAAGAGTTCACTCTTAAAATTATAACAAAAAAGTCCGTATCAATTTGTTTGATAATCGTCTAATCGCGTCCATAACCGTAAGAGAAGTATGTCATTAAAGGGCGAGGTTGCAAGGTTAATGCTACTCAACTTTGTAGTTAAAACTGTATTTTCCTTGATATATATTTATGTAGTCTTAAATTAAGTGCCTTCCTGATTACCTTCTAAGAGCATGATACTTAAGCCAAGTGGTTTGATTAAGAATAGGCTATTTTTAAATTTAAAAAAACCGCCTTCATAAATTACATTCGATTTCTTACGCAAAAATCAACTAAAAAATCAACTAAACTAACCACTCACTTATTTATAAACAGTGATCTTAATTACTGTACCTACGATAAGCTACGAGTATTTAATACCCAATTAAAATTTATAATGATCTATTTACGAAATTACAATGTGACAAATCTTGTCTAAACCCGTTATCTATTAATTTAAATAAAACATTACCTATATGTGCTACTAGGTGTCTACCTACTGATGTGTGTGAAGTCGGTGCCAAGTCCAAAAATAAATAGTTTATCGCAGGTACAGTAATTAAGATCACTGTTTATAGATAAGTGAGTGTTTAGTTTAGTTCGTTTTTGTACTGGAATTGCAACTGTTTTTAGTTCCTACGTGTTGTTTGAAGGCGGTTTTTTTACTTATTTGAAGATAATTTATTTTTTGTTTCATAGTGGTGTTTTATAAAATAACGCGTAGATTAATGTTAGTAAATATGAGTGTTAGTGTCATATTCGAGATGTCGGCTATAGAAAACGCAGCAGACAATTTGTCGGACAATTTCACCCATGTATTTTATAAAGAATTAGGAACTAATAGTGCAAAAATATTAATAAATAATAACAATGTATATTTGTCGCAAAACAAAACATCGTGTATAACATATTTGCATTGGTAGACAAGCTATTTGCGGCAGAAGTTTTGTCGAACATAAACGTTTTCGAACATGTTAGTAAATTATGCGTTTAATTTGTTAAAATGGAATACATATTTGTTAAAAAAGAAGTAATCACGAATTCGACACACTTTACGCGTGCTACTGCCAAACAGCAGCACTTTCGACAATTTACGACAATTGTCGTATCAAATAAGAAAGTTTGGTAGACTGTTTAAAATGAAGCTACTGACAAAAATTCAGATATGTATTAATCATTTATTAAATTGGGTGACGTACTGGGGACTATTGGAAGGAATAGCTCTATCTGATTTAGAACCCTATAAACTGTTCAGGAAACCGTACGATGTACGACCATTTTATTTTTCTTCCACATTCACACAACGCCATCTATTCCCAAACTAAGCAGAGCTTGTGCTATGGGTTCTAGACAACTGATATAAATACATATATACTTTTTTTGCAAATACATATATATTATACATAGAAACACCCAGACCAAATCAAACATTAAAAGTTCATGCACACAAATGTTTGACTTGAGCGGGCATCGAACCCGCGACCTTTACAATAGCAGTCCGTTACACAAACCACTACGCCATCCGGTCGTCTGCATTAGCAGAAATGCACCGATTGAGAAATCTTATTTCTGACGTAAGGTAGAAAACCAGCTCCTTTTTTGAAGTCAGTTAATAGGACATTAATTATTTTTCATTCAAGATGTAGAGAAGAATGATAATGAAAAATGTAGGCTTCATATAATGAGAAATAAATAGTATTTTTTCAAAGTGAAGTGTTAGCAGTAAGAGCAGCCTCGTACCGCACAGAATCCGTAGCGTCGTGCGCAGCTTGTAAACGTCGCTGCGCAGCGAGGAAGGCAGCGACGCGACACGGCACTGGCAGACCTCCGCCCGCCCAGCACACTCGACTAGCTCCGTTAAACTTCGTGTATATTACATAAATAAACACACGACTTGTCTTCCACGAAGCCCCATCAGTAACCAAGGTAATATTTTTATCATTTATGTTCTACATCTGTATAACTATGGTATGTTTAATACAAGTTTAAATCATTTTAAAGATCTTTTTGTGTGACATTTTGTTTTACTTATTTCTAAATAAGTGAAATCATGAGTATATATAAGTTGATAGGAAAAAATATTTACTATCAGGTTATTTGGAATGCTGGAACAAAAAATATATTTCACGTACATAGGTACATCATAATGGTATGAAGTGATAATAAAAACCTCTTTCTGTAAACGTGTGTGCGTGCGTTCCCGAAAATGTTATGTAACCTAACAGACAATATGAAGAGAATAATTGGTTAATACTATTAACTAGATTGTATTAATTAATAATTAGATTGCTTAAGTTCATTGCAATAAGACAATATTTAAATTAGTAGAAAATACAATCGAAGAAACTTGCGCACTCTCTTTCTACATATATACATATTTCTTTTTCCCACGGCTTCGCTCGCGTATAGTCAATTTTGTAAATAAATTTGACCGGGATAATTAGTAGCCTTTGTACTCTTCTAGAATAAAAGCTATCTATGCGCCAAATCACGTCCAGATCCGGAAATCCGTTTTGGAGTGATTGAGTAACAAACATACACAGTACATCGTTTTGAAAAGTTAAAACAATATGTGTATATTTTTTTTGATAAAGAATAATAATTGTACCTACTGAGAGTTTGGAAGCAATAAGTCAAAAAAATATAGTTGCCCTTTTTAAGGATAGTTTTGAAAAAAAGTTTTGAAAACGACGTAAAAATTTGTTGCAACGTTTTTATTACTTTTAATAAAGAGTAGTTACTATGAGTTTGAAAAGCTTCTACCAAAAATAACGAAATTTCATATAAATTTTCAACCCCCATTTTGCACCCTTAGGTGTAGAATTTTTAGGCCCAGTGGTTTCAGCTGTGCGCTGATCGATCAGTTAATCAGTCTGTCAAAATTGTTAATTAATTTTACATGCAAATGGAACTAAGGCTGGTTACACTACAAAGTTCTATGTTAAAAAAAAACTTAATTAGTTACTAACAAGAACCATCATCAACAACATATCAGGAAAAATCTTTCTTCCCATACAATGAAATTTAATGACCATTGCATATAAAATATAAATATGAATACATATTAAACATATAATAATAATAATAATCAAAAGAATAATAATAATAACCTCACACATCTCACACAGGGCCGTCTGGTCCCAAACTATGGAACCTGTGCTATGGTAACCAGACTGCTGATAAACATACTCATATATTTCTAAATACCAACATATCATAGATAAAGTACACCAAGACTTAGAACAAATTATTGTGCTCATCACACAATTATTTGTCCTGGGTGGGAATCGAACCCACGACCTCTGGCTTAGCAGTCGGGATCACTAACCACTAGGCCAACAGGCCGGTCAAATGTTAAATAAGGAACAATTCCATCAGTTTCTGCTTTTAAATAGGTGTATAATTTTGATTGATTGTTTGTATCTTCTACGATGTCTGATGTAATTTATGAAAGGGTAATTTCGGCACTAAGTTTAATAATCAGCACTTTGAATTTTAATTTTACAGTTTTGAAGAATGGATGTTTGATTAGACGTAATAGGTAATATGAACATCATCAGCTCTATCCATCTGCCTATTAGCACCCAGTCAGTCTCATAGAATGATAAATTACAGACTTAGTAAGTTATGTCTGTGGATCGATCTCTTATCCTTTAATCCGAGAATACTTTTAAAAAATGTTTTAAACGCTTCATGTGTTTAAAATAATAATACCTTTAAATCAACTAAAATAATATTGTTCATTTAAAAAAAAAATGCGCTATAAAACGCGGAATTATGGTTCATCCGTTCGAAGACCGAAACTTAACAGGGACAGAATACTTGATTTAATAATATTTTAACTGTGCTAGTGTAAAATTAGCACTGTACTCACATTGAAATCTTGAAATAGTTTTTTGTTTCCCTCAAGTTAAAATAAAATAACTTAGTAAGTTTATTTTCTTGATTTATACATATTATTTTAAGCTTTCTATCAATAGGCCAATTTAAATAAATAGTTATTTTCAATTTTTTAAACATACTCGCCCGGGTATATCTATTAGTTTACACATATATACTCGTATATATATATATACATTCATAAATATACAGGGTGTAAGGGACATCTTAACGAATACTGAAATAGCGTATTCAGACCATGACTCTGAAAATCATTGGAAATTTCTGCCGAAAAAATCATTTTTTGATAATTTACCCTTTTTTTTAATGCAATGTAATAAATCAAATAGCTGACAACTTATGTTAGTGTGCATAGACTGTTTGCACGGAATACACATGTACTTATTACTTTTGTGCGATACCTACGGGGAACGACCTTTACCTTAGACAACTCATTACATAAAAAGTTTAATTTGCCGGCAGAAAATTAAAATTATTTTAGACTGAGAATGATGTCTGAATACACTATTTCAGGATTCGTTACGAAGTCCGAAGTCTCTTACATCCTGTATAGATTACATATACACTATATGATGAAGGTTATCACAAAAAAATGAAACACCAGATAACACGGTTTAATATACGTCGGTCAAAATAAAAAAAATTGTACGAAAATACAGAAATGCAAATTTAGAACAAAATAAATACAATAAAACAATTGCACAATTAGAACACCATTGTTAACATGAGTCGGTGAACTGAACACGGCAGCGTCGCAATGTCGGCGACATCAAAGCGACGCCGCCGCCGAGACTCATATTACCTACCTACTAATCACTTTACTTTTTACTTATTGACACTTTTCAAAATAAAATTAGCAGGACTCGTTACAACACAAAGTCTTGCGCACACAATAACATTAATTGTTCTCACCATTGCCGTGTATTATGACGAAATCAATAAGACTGTACAATTATTAACACAACAAAACTCTTCTAAACAAATATCTCACGAACAACAACAATAGTGTTATTACGCAAATTTTTTGTGAGCGCATCTACAAGGACACAGAACAGCATAACACTCGCTGATGGCCAAGGGCCGACTGACTTTACTTAGTGGATGAACTAATTATAAACCTCCTGATGACGCAATAATCAACAAATTTCGTTCGATTCGAGTGTAGTAAAAGCGGCAACGTGTGATTACCGCGTCGCGTATACTCGTACACGTATGACTGCATTTACACATGATGTTGCAAATAACGTAAACAAAAAAAATGTTTTGTTTCTAAACCACTGAATTTTTTTGTTTATATTTTGCAAATCGTCTAGAAATAAAGTGCTGAATTTGCTGTTTCCAGATTCGTTAAAAGGTACATCACAGTCTGTGTATAGTTATTATTCAGTTTTTTGTAATTCTAATATTTTTACATATACATACAAACATATCCTATGTTTCTTAAGTCATTGTCTAATTGGATGGAATATATTTTATATATTACAAAATCAAAATATTATAAAATCACTGTGACTAAAACTAATCATTTCATCAAATGAATATGATTTATAAGTAGCAATAATTTCCATGTCTACTACCTACGTACTGACTCGGTTAAACCAAAAAAAGTCTTTATAGTTAAAAGGGCTAAAGCAAACGCTTCACAAGATTAACTAAGATCAATGAACTTCATTTGATCCCGTAAATCGGCCTCAAATCGGATGTTGTTACGTATGACCATCTGATCCACGCAGCGAATTGCTCCCTGATCTGATCTCAAGCTAGGTAAAGCTTGCACAATGGTAAATAAACATTTATATTTCGATAGGTACTTATATTATAAACTAGCGATACCCTGGACACTGCACCACTGGACCAAGAGACAAGCCAAGTAAATTAAATTGAAAATCATTAGAATAGCGAACCGGTTGCAGTGTTGGAACTGACTAAGATGTGATGAAATTCCAAGATTATCAACTTATTTGGTCTACTGGGTGTTGTGATCGTGACTGGTCAAGTCAAAACTAAATGTTGAATTTGTATACACTTTCGTTTGTTTCTGCGTTTCTTCTTGAACCTAATCATAGGAAACGCCAGATATATTGTTTAGTTTTACTAGAAATAATCGATGTATAAGTGTTTAAAGCGATTTTAAGACTATTCGCAATGTTATCAATAACAATTTATTTATATGTCACTAGACGCATCCGTCAAATCAGAATATCTTATTATAAATAACATTTTTACAATATATATGAATATATGTGTGTATGTATTTTTGAAGTACAAAACTGTGGTGAGCGAGTGAGGGTACCAGTGTCTACCTATGTAAACCTACAACCTTATAGCAACTAAGCTCCTAAAAACGTCTATTTTGCCTATGCCTCAACAAACTTGTAAATTATACACATTAATACACCTCTTTTTTTTTTAGAATATCCAATGGATTCTTGTACTTGGCTTATACGCCCACAAATAGCAATTCTTACCTACTTTCTAACATAACATTATACCTATCAGCACCTAATCAAAATGCAACGCGACACACGACCTACTCCGAGGAACGACATGGATACAGTTTTATCTACACGTCTGACGTAACCAGCATTTACGAACGTTACCTATGGTAGTTGAACGGAGTATTATTTACGACAATAAATTGGGCAAGGTACCTTGAGTACAGAATTACAGTAGAACATACTAGTTCTCGCGATCATAATAAATGCAAACTACGAAGTTTGGAACTCCAAAACAACAGGCTCCAATCAATGATATTTAAAGGTGTTTTGTATAAAATATCATTGGCTACAGTCAGGTTTTAACTTTTTTAATCATAATGTATCTTTTTATCATAAAAAGTTTTTTTATCCTTTTCACAAAGCCGTAAAGTAGATGATCCGGTTATTCCAATTCAAGCTTAGGTAGCCACATCTTGGAAGGGCTGGTAGCTTTTAAATTATTACTGTTATTAAAGAGATCTTTTATGAAGTCATGGACGATATATACTAAGTCTTATTATGAAAGTCTTTTGGCCGACGAAACAATATTACAGCGCACGTACTCCTAGTTCATTCTTATTATGTAAGATGGCCCGTTTGACATTAATTTAGAAGTATTACTGTCTGAGAACACCAACATAGGGGAAGCCGCGTTTACGAACAGCAGTAAACAGGCAATCTGTACATAGTTGTCGCGTTTGGCGGACGTATAGCCCCTAAAATAAATACCAATATTTAAGACAGTTTATTATATTATAAACTGATAGAAAAGTTTGTACATAGTTAGTGTGTGAAGATAATCATTTTTTTTTATGTTGGTAAGTAAATTTTGCATTTATAATTCATGATTAGGTACCTACTCTTTGTTGATTTCTTTAATCCAGTACCAAAAGTTGATTCTTGCTAATTGTTTACATGCGATCGTCAGGTTTTGTATTCGATTTAGGGGCTAGATAAATTGTTATGTTTTTTTTTATTGGAAATGTTCAGGAGGAGCACGGACAAAGTCTAAATAAATATTCGTGTGTGAGTGTTAGTTTTCATAGCAACAAACCAAATATTTATAAAAATTACATAACCGTGTTAGCTTATCCGGTTATTTCATGAAATGACGAAAGAGTGAAATAGGTCACGAGAGACATTTTACCAACCTCGTTAGGTCACAGAGAGGTCGTTGACCTACTTAGGAAATGTTAATCGAAATTTAGTTCGAATGTATACATAAGTGTTGAATATTTATGAAAAAGTTAGGTATTATATATACATACAATTAAGTCTTATGTACTATGTATCTGTTACCTACTAAAGTAGGTAATTGAACTTATTAGGTACCTAACACTTAACAGTTAACGTAGTCAACTTAATATTGTTTCTTTTAATATTTAGATGTACTGTAAGTTGTTGTATATACAGGCAAAGATGTAAAACATTTATTTATTTATTTTGTATTGAGTACAATATTTATTCAGTACATACTATCGTTGAAGGATCAAAACATAAACAAATGTAACGCGGCTTAGTCGGGCGCAATAGTTTTTTTTATAAGCATTTAGATGCAACTTATCCATTAATGTTAGTTATTAAGGTATTTAATATTTTGTTTTTAAAATTTGGAAATTCAACTGTCCCATAGTGTCAATGTCTATAATGTCAATAATTAATCTTTGTAAAACACACATTTCGACTGCATAGTCGAAATGTGTGTTTCAAACTAAGTATGTGTCGAAACGTCGATTATTTAATCCCCTCCCTCTCTGGACCCTACCAATCTAATTAATAACCATAATGAATACATACACCAAATGATGAAATCGATAAAATTTTATAACCCGATTATATTTGAATGTCCAAAAAAAGTTTTAAAAATATACGCTCACTTCACCAAAAATAACAATGTGCATCTAAACCAGGCGTCCGCAAAACTGATTTATTATCTAACGATTGCGTAAATCAGGTCACGGACGACCAGTACAACGCATTTTACATTACTGTTTCTACTCAGCACACTCACTATATTTGTCTCGAATGGTATTTTTTCACTATATTATTATTAAACTCAGTAAAAAAACACAGCTCGTCATTCCTAGTGTCTATAGAATTGTTTCACTTGTATGTTGCATTGTTTTATACTGTGTATGTATTCAGAAATATACAAGCATATTTTAAGGAATATACATACTCGTATGCCCCCAATTGTAGACTTGCAGGTTATGACTCAGAGCCATTTCCTGGAGCCTCTCCTGACTGCCGAGGTGGGCCGCCACGGGGTTAGTGGGTAGACCGGTTCTCCGGTTCTCACACACGCCCTCTGTTTCCCCAACAAAAAAAAAAGATAAAAAAATTATAGTCGACAAAATGACCGCGTTTAATACGCCTCTCTCCTACCTTTTTTTTGTCTGTGCGGCAATCCCCTCGGATACCACCGTCTCGGATACCAGTTGCCGGGGAACCACGTGTACCCTAGAAAGGAAATTTCGTGTTTCCTCGGGCCATCTACGGCGTGTAGATAACACCCTCCTGTGTGGGACCCCTATATCCCCTTTGTGCTCGAAAGGGCGTGCGCGTCTCGCCACCACCCCGGCCTGCTTCTGCTTGAGTGACAGATGGCAGATGGCGGGCCGGGAGAGTTCTAAACCCCTCCCGGTCCCGCTCCGCCATCTCCTTCTCAAGCGTAACTTGCTTGCAGATGGAGACGGCGGAGTTCCACGCACCCTCGCTACGTACCATGGCGGTAATCATTTACCGAGCGAAAGAATGCCCACTCCAATGGCCGCCACGAGGCCACGCCTCTGTTCTACCCATGCCAGGCATTCTGCCAGCGTTTGGAGCGCCGCGTCCACGGTCCGGCCATCGCAGTGCTGGCACTCAGGCGTTGGCTCCTTGCGCATATGACACAGGTGATCTTAGAAGCATCCTTTTCCGGTGATCACCTGCGTCAGCTTGCATATGAGAGGGTTCCGTGATACCTTCTCGAGCCAATCCTCCATAACGGGTCTTACCGCCATGATAACGGCGTACTCGGAGCACGGTTGCCCAAGTCGATTCTTCCACTCCTCATCGAGGACCTGGTGGAGTTGGGATTTCTGATCCTCGATTTCTCGAGTCTCAGGACTCTGACCCGACGCTACTGATACAGATCCGCAAGGGCTCTTGCCTAACAGTCTCAGCCTCTCTCCTACCCTGCGGGGATCAAAGATGTGATGTGAGAGTGTGTGTATGTAAGATTATTATTGTATATGTGTGTGGCATTCACTGCAAAGAAAAATTGCTGCTGTAGAAAGAAATTTTTACAATTTTAGATAGACGTGATTTATATTCTACTGCCATACTTGGTTCGTCTATAAAACATGCAATTTTAGGAATTTGAAGTTTTAAATAGTCTGGGAGAAATCTCTTTACTACTCGGTTTTTAATGAAATAAAAAAAACAGGAAACTTTTACGTATTTATTTTGGTGAGAGAAAGTTACAGTGGTTGTCCATAGCCCTTAATCTTAAGTATTTCTTCAGATATAAATTTTTTATAATGACTAATTTACATAATGACTAAAAGTCATTATGTAAAATCATGTGTTCTAGTTCTTTGCAAGAACTAAAATATATGAAATTGATTATATACTCATCAGTTTCAGGATGACTTCACCGGCCATCACTAAGTCACCGGAGAACCAAAAGAATGAGAAGAAATCGCCGGTCCATTCCACAGGGTCCCCAGAACGGGTACCTTCCAACACTGATGCAGCTGTAGCATCTACCTCGGGTTCAAATCAACAACAGCCAGAGACCTTCAGTTGGCTACGAATTTTTAAACTAGCTGATCTCATGATGAAACAGGGTTGTTAAGTCAATCAATAAATTAGTAGACAATAACATATAGGTACAGATGCCATATAGTTTATTTATGTTCTGATAAGTAGACGACTAGTTGTATCAAATTGTCATAATGAGAATAGTAAGTAGAAAGTTTAATAAATATTATACGATGTTCATAAGTTCACAAATACATTCATAATTTTAAAATACTTTGTTGGGTTTTTTTTAGCTAATAAAGGGAGTATCGGAGTTATAACGGACAATAAATACAAACGAGACAAATCAATAACATTTGTCAATCCTCGCCTAAATCATGGTGACGATCTTTCACAAAATGTAGCCAAAGCTTACGCCTAATAACAATGTATCTTTAAAATGATATATGATATATTGACCACGAAACCACGTAAATATAACAATAACGTTGTAACATAAAATAAACTAACAAAATATTAAAAGTTGCTGTTGCGAGGTAGTACCAACCTGCGCAGTCATAGGATCTCACTACGGGTTTCTTTTAAGCTCTGGTACTAAGTCTGACCCAATTTTTATTTCCACAATTTATGCCACAAGTACTGAGAGTATTTAATACTGTATGCCGCGCTTTTACACAATTTACACAACTCTCTTGAGTTGGGCCGTTGGAATGGGCCGGAGATAGTCACTTACCCCTAGAGGACCCGCCTACTTGTTTGCCTCTTATTACATAAAAAATTGTGTAAAAGCGCGGCATACAGTATTAAATACTCTCAGTACTTGTGGAATAAATTGTGGAAATAAAAATTGGGTCAGACTTAGTACGTACGGTCAAGTGAGTTGCCGCCCTTTGTATTTTGCCCAGAATGAGGGGAGAGGGAGAGATCGTTCGGTAACCTCACTGTTGCGGTGAAAGGCAACTAAAGAATTGCTCAACACCGGTGTTCTGTAAGTGTTACACATTCCAAGAAATTTCAGAATAACAATGGAAGCAATAAAAACGTTTCTTATTATATAAAATTGTTAGTGTTCTTATAGATCGTAGAAATAAAACACTTATAATAAAACAAAAAATCATGTTTAAGATAGGTAGGTAAATGTTACTTTATTATTTTATCAATTTAAAGTGATTCCCGTGGCTTCTTTTTCATTTCTAAATTAAATTAAAAGATTTATTAATAACTTAAACACGAAATAATCATTATTTAGGTACATTCACGACAAAGATTACGTAATAGAGATTATGGAGGTGCATCGCTAATATTCTACGAATAATAAGAAAAATTATTTGCAGCTAATATTCAAACTGTCCAATGTTGAAGTATCGACTAGGCTTCAGCGGCACTAGAATGAGTTTTTACAGCTTGATTTACGTTGCGTGTCGTCAATTTCCACATGCGGTTCGGAGAATTCACGTGAAACCCGTGCCTAACTAAACTACCTTTAATTTACGACACTAAATGCTGCAAAACCGGTTCGAGATAGTATTTTTCTAAAGTTGTTCCAAATCATTAAATCTGTTTCCCAAATAATAATAATTAGATATAACTCATAAGTTACTCAATTAAATTAATTCACTTTCAATCACATAACTTAATATAATGTGTTGGTCGTTAATATAGATTGTGGTTATTACTATTGTTTTTAGACTACGTACCTAAGTTTTTGTACTTCTTTTGGAATAGACAAGTTGAGATAATAAATATTAATGTACTTACTGTACTGTGTATTTTTACCCGACTGCCAAGGAAGGGTTAAAGTTTAAAGTTTTATAATAGTAACTAAAGAGTGTAAAATAAAAAATAAATAAAAAAATTAAAACCCGACTGCGTAAAAAATAACTAATAATAACTAACTTAAAACTAAAAAGAAAAAAACAAGTTCAGTCTAGAAGTGTAGAAAGTAATTACTATAACATCAAAGTAATTTTATTATCAATAGACACATAAAATAAAACAAATAATAAATTCTAATACGGAATACATTGACTGCAACAGTCGGAACCCATTAAATAATCTAGACTAAAATCATTATATCCAATATGGGTCTGTTTTTATTTAAAGTTATTAGTTAGTTATTTTTTCCCGCAGTCGGGTTTATTATTTTCTAAATTTTTACATTACCTAGTAAATATCGCCATCAAAATTAACCGTAGCCCATGCTTCTTCGGCACATATGAGTAGTCTCGACCGGTGCGATATCAAGCCCAAAGGCTTCACAGAAAACCAATGTTAAGAAATTCCGAGGAAGTGAGATTACCGGAGTCCTGGTCGGAACGAAGTTCCTTTCGCTGTTTAATAGATGTTTGCTACATATATGAATTCTGTATCTTTTCCAAGAACTCTATCACAGAGTCAAACAGGTTGTAAAATCGATTTAGACCATTGCCTCAGTATGAAACAACAAACAGGTGGCAATCTGCGTCATTAGTAACACAAAGCTGATGAAATAATCTATCATTCAAAGAGCTGTTACGGATTTTATTAACTGCTTTGATGACATAGAGTAATTGAAATAGTCGTTAAGTTTCTAGCAACCAAATGTTGTCTATGAATAACGCAATGTACAGCAAGGACACCTGGAATTTTATTTTTTAAGTTCGCTATGAAGCCTTTATATAGCAACTTATATAATATTTTTCAAGGGAATCTCTTTCTCATTACAATTATAAAAAATAAATTGAATATGGCCTTTTGTATCGGTCTCTAAATTTCTAGCAAACAATAGTTCTTCACATATTTTATTATTAATAAACCTCACGTAACTTTGAACAGAATTATTACTCAAAGGAATTTTTCGGATAATATCTGGGGCCGGTTTATGAAGCACAGTAGTTATTACTTCCTTTATTGCTCGCAAAATTAACTCTTCTCCGATGTTGTGTGGTTTGCCTTTTTGAACAATTAACAAAGAGATATTGTACGAAGCTCGAAGTCCAACTATTAGATGAATTTAATTATTGTTTTCCTATACATTAGCCGTCCGCCGCCGATGACGTTTCTAAGAACTCAGCGCTAAGCATTTTCATACATAGCATTCGTACGCCACCGGCGGAGGACACGCGACCGACGACGTTCAGACAACCCCGGGCCTAAGGAGTTCCCAACCATCCGCTGCCAACCACTTTCCTCAAGTTGTCGGTCCCTCGTGCCGCAGGGCGCCCTACACTACGTTTGCCTAATCGCGGTCTCGACCCAGCACATTGAGGCTCCGGCGACCATCAGTCCGTCGGTTACGCCTTTTTCTCTGTTGAATCACTTCGTTACGAATTTTACCGCACGCTAAGCGACTTAGGATTAGTCCAACGGTGAGTGTCCACGTCCTGCCTCGTCCTGGAATTACTACATTTTCTGATCAAATTAGCCGCCACAGTTAGTAGGAAGATTCGTATATGTCGTATTTAGCAGGCGGTATTAAAGACAAATATCACAATTAACGAGTCTGGAATGAACAAGTCTAGTTTGTATAAGTATAATATTTTCTTTTGATCAAAAAATAAAAGTACGTTTGATAATAAGAGGGTGATTATTAAAAGCCACATATATGTAATATTTTTTTAATAGTATTGGTAGGTAGGAGGTACATAACACACAGGAGTCTGGGTTGCTTGGATAAAGGGAAGTTAAGATACAATACTATTTTCAATATGTACAAAATATACAATTATCTCTATAACCTAGCTTTAAAACTATAGTATAATTATGATCACAATATTCTTTTCTATACGTACGCTCTGTTAGACCAAAACCAACATCGAGCACACTGGCATCGGGTCTCGTCCATACGCGACTGTTACTCTACAACAATCTAACTCACTTTCTCTTTTGCTGCACACTTGAGATCAAATGTTATTTTTACATATATATTTAAACTATCGTCTCACACACCAGTAACAGTCACTAACGAAAGTGACCCGAAAAATTTAGGCGTTCCATCCTCATGATACCACCTCATGCTTGAGAACAGAATGGAAAGCAACTCCAATGAAAGTAAACGAAAGTATCCAACATCGGTACACCCTTGATGTACCAGCTCAGAGGCGCGCCGACATGGAACACTCATTTCAATTTATATCACAAATAAACAAAACTATATTATACTTCTCACATTAAGTCTGCAATCATTATGGTCTATACCATATTTTACAGGTTTTTTTTGCGACACAGGAATTCTTCAGAATATTAAGTATTAATAATTGACATTTTAATAGCGTACCATAGAAGGATGTAGTTACTTACTAAAATTACTTAATAATTTTTTTTTGAAGTTATGAATATATTGAAAAAATGTATACGAAAAAAGCAAATACCATATAAAATAAAAAAAAAGAAATCATTATCATACACTAAATATTAATCATAATAAATAACTACACCCCAGTAACAAAAAAAAAGAGTAAATACTTTCACAGCAATAAATTATTTGTTTATAATTCTCATTTGCTAATACCGTCATATACTATATTTTCATGAAGACTTATTTACATTGAACTCCTTCATAAGGGGTTCAAACAAGATTTTAGAGTGTACATCATTGGGCGTCTGCTAGTAAAATTATAGATACTTTAAAATTAATGGACGAAGTGACGAGTTCGTTAGTGTTCCTCCTAGCCAAGTTAAGAACTGTTTGCGACGGAAATATGACAAACAATACAATTATTATATTCATACATTCTAATTTTAAACCTTAAAAAGAATATACGTAATAATATTATTACCTGTGCTATAAATTTATATCGTTCATTATAAAATTACAATACATAAAATATTTTGTACTTTACTTTTACGTACGACAGCACAGTCGCACCATTTATCTAACTATATTAATAATGCGGATGTATGCGAGATGCTGGATTACTTATTTATTCGGAAAGTGATCTTACAGGTGGAACTTAAATAAATTATGAGAAGTACAATATTGTTGTAGGTTTTTTTTGTTTTCAAAGTAATAATATAGATATTACAAAAACTATGACAATGACAGATTGTGATTGCAACGAATGCGATTTAATAAAAATCTGTATACTAATAAGCTGATATCGACCAGCGGCAATGAGGATGGCGAGTAAAGTAGAGCAGAACTTGAGCGGCGCCGGCGGCCCGCAGTTAAAGCAGCAATGAGATCCGAACACGTCCGCGACGAGGGCGCGGTCGCCCCCACCACCATGCTTCTAACCAAACGACGAAAATGCGCGACAGTCAAGCTTATTTCTCAATTTTTATAACCCAATTTTACAAAAGATCTCGTACACGATTCTAATGTGTCGTCTAGGTGTCAAAGATATTTAACCTTGAAATAAAGAGGGAATGTTGAAAAACGATATAGTAAAGTAAATGAGGAAAACGGAGAGACCTTCGTTATAAATCATGAATAGTGAGAAGAAGTACATGTAACACCTTCTGAATATTTTACATTATCGACATGAAACGAGCCCTAAATAACGTAACTGGGACGAAACCACAACTTTGCTCTTTTCAACATTAAATACTTGTAGAGAAATGTTACAAAGAGCAAAGTTAATCAATGCACAAAAAGTAATTGCCCAGATTAAGTTTCGTGCATTGGTAACTAACCAATTGTTAGTTATTTAAAAGGCATCTTGTTTATTCGATTTATAAATTGCCTTCTCTATAAAACTATTAGTCTGCGTTACATTTGCAAACAAAGAAATTTTATACCTACCTATATATCAGTGAAGTTTGTGTAAAATATAATATTGATTATTACTTTGACTTTAGAATATACAAATCTTTATGCGACACATGATTGTGAATGAATTTGTTTCTTTATCTTATTATAGTAGCTTCGTGTAATCTATAACTTGTATATGGCCAATACCTGAGACTTGGCTATACGTATTGAACATCAAGATATATAAATGAAAGGTCGCACAGTAACTTCGCATCGTGACACAGTGACATATCACCCAGCTAAGACAATATTCAACATAATTCCGATATCGCTAAAGGCGAGGCCGTACTTGCCGCAAGTGTGCTGCCGCTTAACACACTGCCCTCTATGCTCCATAAAATAGGGCTACCTACAGTCTACATTTATAAGTCAGAATCACAGTTTATTTTCCACGTGTATTTTTGTCTTACTATTTTATATAACTTAATTAAGATTGATTTTTACACATAAACAGTAATCATTTGACCCAGTATTCTCAAGTTTTCCATTACCTACCGTAATGACCTAAGCGAAATCGAACTTTATTACGGATAGATCCGATATTTACAAAATTTAAATTACTTTAGACCTAGTTCGCTTAAAACAAAATAACAATTTACACTAACAGTAAAAAATGCTCGATAGATTGCCACTCATCTAATCGGAACCCAAAATTAAATATATTTTTATCAACTGACTTTGCCATCTATTATTACTTTTTTAAAATTTAAACTCCGAATATCGTCGAACCCAGTCGACCATAACAAAAGTACTTTACAAATAAGCTATAACTTACATCTAACACTTAAATAAGTGACGGCTGCTTATCTAACTAGGTGAGACTTTATACAGGCACGTGGGGCCGCCTTCGGTGACGACGCCGCGGAACGCGATAACAATAAATAACTGATGTTACATAACCACAACGAGAGTCCATTTTCTCAGAGGTATTATAACTCAATTCCTAAAAACTTTTATCATTCTCAAAATAACCTAAAAGTTCTTGGTTAGTTCTACCAGGTCGATCTATTGCTAAGATAAAAATGAAGACATTATTTTTCACAACCTGGTTTTTATTTACAATTCTTCTTCAAACGATGGGTCATCTTCATATCATGACCATTTGTCATTACATCAAAGTATCCCTGACATCACATTCAGGGAATAAAATCCAGTCCAGAAAGTAATAATAATCAATAAATATATACCTTTAGGCTTAGTAAAAGGATGCATATATGTGTGCATGCATTGCACACGGCTATTAACCTTTCAGATCTTGTTGACTAACAAGTTGGTATAATAAAATGCCTCACACAGTGGCTATAACAATCAGCAGGTGCGCGATGTCTGCGACACGATGCATGAGGTCTGGTGCTATACGGTTTAAGTTCTCATTGGCGAAGTCACACGATGGGAAGATGTGGACCGTGAACATAGCCTAAAATAAAACATTAAAAATAGGTATTACTTAACGCTCAACACAAATATTACTATCTGGTAATGGGTTTAAACAACACAAGATAAATTATTCTTGAACATTACTTTCACTTAGTCACTTGCTTATTTAAATTGATAATATAGATTGTAATATGTAAATGATACGAGTGTTTGGAATTCAATCATTTGAAAGCCTAAAAAGGCCTAAAGATGCAGATGCTCACATTGATCACTAGAGCACGGTAACTTTTTTTTTTAATTTTACTCAACCATACCTGACTGAGCTGCAATGTATCAATTTCTAACCTGAATTATCATCTCTGGTCAATTTGGCAACAACACACCCATACTAATGTCATACACCAAACGTTCCAAAATACTTCTCGTAATCATTATCCGTTTTCCTGTTCTATAAGTCTAGAAACTAATTATTGCTGCTTTCTGTAGATTTATATACACGGAATCATTTAAATCTATAAGGTTAAGGCTATGGTGAAAGTGCCTATTTATATTTTTTATTTAAAAATTACACAAAACAGTTCAATAAAAGTTACTATTCTAGTCACTAGTCAATGTTCGGATGTTTAACTGTGAAAAATCAAACGCCAAACCGGTGAAATGTTAATCACTTGGCCAATGATCGGAGATCGCTGACTAGCCTGTTGATCACCGCGTTTATGGTACAAAATAAGGCGACGTTCCAGTCTCGGCTAACATGGACCTGTTTTAGTGTTCATTGTAGACTTATAGAAATAATAGTAGTGTTTTGGTGATGATAAGAGTGGTTCTAGTAGCTAAGTTAACTCATGATGATTAGAAATATTATCAAGGTTGGCTGGTAGAGAATGCCCTGCGTATTTAGTCCGCCGATGTACACAGGTGCATAAAGTTGTAAAATAAATAAATAAAATTTAACAAAGTTTAGTGATTACATATACTGTGGAGATCCTGAAGCCTTATTACCGTTAGGTAATTTATCCATCATCTCTTATCATCATTTATTTTTAGAATAGGTTTCAAAGTCAATCTTTTCTGAGTTAAAGTAATGATAGTTTAGTAAAACTAAATAAACACGACTTAATGTCGACTCGTATTAAAAAAAAAAGTTTCTCTATTCAACTCTTGATTCATCGTGAGCAATTTTCAGTAAAATGTCCATGCTACTTTTTAGGTTCATTCACACTTTAAATTTTGCAATTTTGATTAACAACCTAAACTATGGGGTAAGATAGAAACGGTCATGGAGTTATATAACGAAAAGTAATATGACAAAACATGGACGCAACTAGCTTTACCTGCTGATGTCCAGGAGGTGCGATATTGACGATACCGGCGGCTTGCTTGCGTTGCAAATATGTAATGAAACCAGCGGTCAGGTTGTTCGACTGCTGCAACACGTCCATGTGGTCGCGGCCGCACGGCAGCGCCAGCAACATACAGTGTTCATTTTCCATCTGTAGGGAAGAAGCGTTCTTTGAAAAGAATGATATAGTTAGGTGCGGTGCGAGCGGCGGCGGCGGACACTCACCTTCATCTTACGGTGCACCTGGTCGAGCTGCAGCGGCTCGAGGCGCATGCGCTGTGCGATGCGCAGCAGCGGCGTGGTGCCATCGGCGTGGCGCGAGAGCGTGTCGCCGGCGACGCCAGGATTGCCACCTACGAAATGCATCTGTACTGCTGCCGAGTCGTTCTTCAGCGCCAGGAGCCCCTGCCACATCACCGGGTAGCGCTGTAATCGATTCGGGCCCGTTACTTACTATCCAGCGCGATTATTTCGTTCGGAACATTGTATTGTAAATAAAATGTTAAATACTAAACCTCCTAAATTTATTTTTTAGTTTATACGGCCCGTTTTCACTCCCCTATAGAAAACCTATTTGCATTTCAGTGTTTATTTATGTATAGTAAGACGTTCATGACCCCGTTTTTTATTTTTTCATTGTGGTCCGATTCGTTACGAAAGTCTGAAAACACTAACTACTTCGTCCTCAAAAAATTCAATCATTACGATAATAACAAGTAGCATCGTAACAATAGTTCTAACCACAATCTACTTCGAATCGGTGAGAGCGGGTGCTTAAAGACTATTCGACAAATAAAAAATCAGAGGAAAACTTAAAAGGAAAAACTTGCAACAGACATAGTTCGAATGAATACCCGCGACGATGCTGTTATACAAGTAACGTTAGTGGATAAATACAAAAGTACGGACCCGTAGGAGCATTTGCAAGGAGTCCGCCTCCCGAGGCACCTGCGAGGCGTGCGGCGGGCCGGCGGGCGGGCCGGGCGCGGCGCCGGGCGGCAGTGCGCCCGCCAGGCGCGACGTGCCGTGCGCGGGCGGCGGCGAGCGGCCGTGCGCGGGAGGCGGCGAGCGCGCGCAGTTGAGCGCGTACACGGCCACGGGCGGCGCGCGCCGCACCACGCAGTCGGCGCGCCGGTACGCGTCCATCGGCTCTGCCTCGGTAGGGCGGTAGGCGAGCTCTGGTGCAGGAGAATGAACGGGCCGCGGGGGCACTCGAGCGGACGGCGGTCGCCGCAACTCCAGGGGCGGTGTCGGAGCTTCGGACCCTTCCGCTTCCAGAGATCTGCGCGAGTTATCCGTTTCGCTTTATTTAAAAAATAAATATTGCTGAACGCGAACAGGAGGTGATATTAATTGGTTTGCGACATGCGATTAATAAGATATTAATTTATTCGCATGCTACACAATGTTTATCGTGGAAGCCGTGAAAGTGCAGTAGCATACTTTAACAATTTTGAAGTGTAAACTCTTTCCTCTCGCCTTCCTACGAATCTGCTAAAGTGATTCCGGAAAAGGGACTGACGGAAGTATGTAACAGGAAACCGGGGAACAGATTTGATAAAAAAGAATCTCGCGCAGTGCTAGAGTGGGCAGTCAGATGATACAGTTGTCACAAAATAAGAAGCCCGTTTTGACATTTATCATGGTGGCGTAACTAGTGATTAACCATACGACTTGTAGAGTATTTGATTGATTTGACTATATAACACAAAGTGCATTGGATTTAAGTTATAATTAGAACATATAACTTAAACTTTAATGTTATAGGCAATTTGAAATGATACAATGGAAAGAAATGTCAATTTGTCTTTAATTTAAAAATTTAGCTCAATCACAACAAAATCAAGAAAAGTGAAATCAATCATTTTTTTCTGATGACGAGCCAGATGAGCTATCGTCGCCTGCATATAATAATTATTTCATTTTCTATAATATTATCAATATTGACGTCTCTATCATAGTCTTCCTTTATTATTTTTCGCGTTTTTTCTACCACTTTTGCCCAATCTTCTTTAGTTATTTTATCACAAGCTTCTTTTAACAATGTCATCATATTCTTAGTGGAGAATGGTGGCTTTGTATTATGACGTGCTGCGTTTCCTTTGACCTGAGCCCAGATTAATTCAATAGCATTGTACTGACAATGGTACGGCGGCGTTCTTATCAATTATTGACCATGTTGAAGTGCCCATTCATCGATTTTATATCTTAATTTTGCAGGTTTATTTTGTTTTACTAATTCCAGCAGTTCAGCTTTCAATAAATTCATGTCAGCTTCTACGCCTTTTCTTTGTAACCACGCCACTAAATCTGCCTTTTCGCTTGCTTGAGTAGGTGCCTTATCTATTTGAACTGAATGGTAAGGTGCATTATCCATAATTATTGTGCACTGTTCGGGGAGGTTTATTAACAACTTAGTAAACCACTCTAAGAATTTATTTGCATCCATTTCTTCGTGGTATTCTTTTGTACTCGAATGCGAGTAGAGCATCATGCACAAAACCTCCCCCGGCTGATCCGGCATGGCAGATTATTAGGCGTCTACCCTTACCCATTGGCACTTTTCAACAAGATGCCTTGGTAGCATCCGTCCATGACTGTGGCACGGTATGATTCGAGTTCAGCCAAGTTTCATCGATAAATATGACATTATCCCAATTTGTAATTTTGTTCATTTGTCTCAAGAATGATACTCTGTGCAAAATTATATCATATCGTTCCATCATGATTTTCCTCTTGTCGGTTTTCTTGTATTTGAAACCAATTTGCTTCATAATTGTTATTAAAGATGTTGCACTGCCACTAAACAGGCCAGCCTCTCTTAGTGATACCACCAACTTACTTACAGTTGGGTACTCACTTCTCGTGTAATAAGCATATACGTGGTTTCGAATAGCATCTGCGTCAAATGTGTCAATACCTGTTACAGGCTTGCTTTTCTTCCTCTTCTTAGGCGTATGTAACACATTTTTCTTCAGTACCGGAAGACCCATACTTTTCCTTCAAAATGGTTCGAATAGTTTTTTTGCCGATTCCAAGTGCTTCTGCTACGCGATCTTGCACTTCATTTCCGGGTAATAATGGTCCACCATTAACTGATTCGCGTTCGAAGTATTCGGTTAACTTCACAACCAGTTCGCGTGATTGGCTGTTGATTGTACGTCCTCTTTTCAACATGTTGAAACAGAGTTTGTACAATATAACAACAAATACCAAAATCGAGTCCAAATCGCTATGTCTAATCAATGTCCGGAATAGAAGAGCCAAGGTCAACGTGATAGTAAACAAAAACAGTCCAAAAGCAAAGCCGAGTCTAGAAAAAATATCAAACATAAACGAGCGCACAGTCAACTTCACAAGATGTCGAACAAAAGACTGCGCAGTACGCGGTACGCGCATGGATCACGTGCCGCTTGGTCATAGACAAACCATTTTATAGGTACATAGAGAAAGGAAACAAATTATGTACGGCTTTGATAATTCTTTTGTAGACTGAGTTTTAAGGACTGTTGTCAAATGTGACTGTTGCAAAATGAGACATGACGTTTGAGACAGAAAAATGAGGTGAATAATTTTTTTCAATATCATGATGAAATGATTTGGTTTGACGAAATTGACATTGTAGTAATATTCCGACAGGACTTTACAACGATTAATTCGTGTTTTTGAGTGCATTTTTTTAATATAAAGTTAAACTTGATGCTTATTTATGATACGCGTTGTGATAGTGTATGGGTAACATAGTAATTAAATAGGATTATGAATTTGATTTTTCAATTTCTTACATAGACGTTCATACAAAATTATCGCGGCATGTCAAATGAGAAACGTCAAAACGGGCTTCTTATTTTGTGACGACTTTACGTGAGATTGACTTTGTATCTATATTAGAAAAATAAAAATACCGTGTATATGGCGACGGTGTAGCTCTGTTTTCGTGCTGAGTTGCGCGGAAATGTTGTTGATACATCTGATAATGTTGATGCGAAAAGTGAGGATAGACTCCGTCGCCCTGTAAGCAGACAATTCATTATCACTACCTAAATCATATTTAGTCACTTATTCACGCCACGTTTACTACAAATTATTCTGTAGTTGTGATTGCATGAACAAAATAGTATTATTACATTGTTATATACCGAGGTAACAGGAGAAGTTTGTTGATGAGCAGGCGGTGGGCTTCTAACTAAATCAGCCGACTGTTCCGGATGGCATGAACAGAATTAAAGTTATGTACTCTCAAAATAAATCTCCTTATTTGATCAGAGTGAAATATAATTACCATTGCCATTTGACCCTGGGGACTGATCGAAGGTACACTCGCAATAGTTACTCTAGACGCGGCACCTGAAAGAAAATCGACATACAGAAATTTATAAATAGAATGTAAAAATTCATAACGTGCGTAACTAAATGTTTTGAATTTAATTACGTACAAAGTTTTATATTCTTTTGTTTGTATTTAATGGAAATCAAGACAACTGAATTTTAGTTTCATTTTCTTTTTTATAGACCATAATCAAAGATCACTCAAAAGTGAGTGATCGCAAACTTGGCAGAGTCTGTAATATATAAATTACACCCAGACCATATAATGCGTAATAAAAAAATGGTAATTACATATATGTAAATGTATAATAAACCTTTAAATACATCGAGAGTTTTATTATATCTCTCTCTCTTTCTCTTATATTATACTATTAGTAAAGTAAAGAGATAATGGTACTGTGAGTTAATCAAATAATACGAATTTTGAGAGTAATCCATAAGGATCTGCGAAGCGACTGATGTACGTGACACTACTGAACGATACCGGTTAGCGAGCGAAGCCGGCCGGTACTACCAGAACTTCACCGGAAGAAGGGGGACGCCGCTTTCTTTCATACCGCGCCCCCGCATTGCCCCTCTAAGTTGCTGAGTTGACTCACTAATAGTATTTATTACACATAGACACAGAAAAAATGATTGTGCTCACTACTCGTTCTCAACATGTAATTCAAAACTTACACAATATAGAACATGATTTCGGTTAAGCTGGGCTTTAATTGGACCAATTAAAAGATTGAGTCCGTGAGGAACCTAAACAGGGCTTATCTAGGCTTCTGTCGTCAATCAAATCGAAGAATTTCGAAACCTCAGTAGCGAGAAACAGAAAGATCCAGTTCAAAATCCAACGTATTTGTACACCTGAAGAGTGTCTGTAAATGTCTATCAAAAAAGATATGACGATGTTTATGTAGCTTGTACACAAGAGACAGTACTCTAGGCGAGCTCACCTGGATGATGTTGATGTGGCTGTGGACCGACAATAGCGACCTGCTTAGCGAGATGATGGTGGTCCGAGGGCGGATGCGGCGGGTGGTGAGCACCGCGTGGTAAACTTGCTGTTGCTGCGTAGCCACGGAAAACACGTGGGGCCGCCGCCGCTCCGGCACCACCCACAGCGAGTGGTGCCTCGCCCTCGGGTCGGCACCCTGCACCGCCAGACACTCGAGCGCTTTCATCATGTGCTGCCGCCGCTGCAGCTGCAGGTGACCGTGAGCGCACGGAGCGAATGAGCACAGGCGTGACACGATCGGCGGGTCGATGCATAGATGGTGTAGAGGGTGCAGACGGAGGCCTATGAGGTAGGGCGGGCGACTGCACACGCGCGTCTGTGGCTTCGGTGGCGCCTACTGCCACGAGTGCTCCGGGCACGGCATCACCTAGACGCCGCGGCATCGTAGCTTCGCCGCCGCCTTGAGTAGAAGGAGTAGGAGGTTCGATGATAGACCGCGACACATCAGGGTGTGTGCGATCAGCGATACCGGCTGCAGCAGCAGCTTCAAAAACGGAAGCTAACTTTGCGCTTATCTCGGAAATCATCTTCTTGGGAGGCTTAGTTATAGGCGTCGGCGTAGATGGTGGTATCTGAGGTGGAGGTGTGGGTAGCGGTGCTACCACCGCCTCCATCTGGACTGACGATTCATCTATACGAGGCGTTTTGGCATCCTTGGTACCCTCTTTGTTATTCCTCTCGTCTCCACTGTCGATGGACGCATCTGACAAACTTCGATCTCTTGTCCGCTTGACACCCCTCGGCGATTTTCGTACATCCAAACCAGGCTTTTCCTGTCCTGTTTTATTAACAGTCTGTCTAATCGGTCTTTTTTTGTTACCTTCCTTTCCAATTCTGGTAGGCAATTTACTAACATCGTCAATAACATCGTCCACCGTAGTACGTTGAACGTCTTTCTCCTGTAGCCTACGAGACTTTCGTGTATTTGGGGATGGCGAAATGAAATCCTCACTCTTCTCCTCCTTATTTCTTTCAAGCGATTTCGGTTGATCTTTTGGAGTTATGCTTAAAGTTGAGGTAGCCATCATATTGGAATGACCCGATAGCGGACTCTTTATTGTTAAGATCAATCTTGGACGTGTTTCAGATTTATTAGGTGAAGATGTTGTTTCATCACCCGAATCTTCGTGAAAATCATAGACATCACCTGGCATAGTATTCGCATTGTTGTTGACTAAATTTTTGATTTTCTTATCGACCTTAGCTCTACCTCTGCCACGTTTAGAAGTGCCACCTCTCGCTGGTTTAGAGATTTGTCTAGTTTGTACTCTGTCTTGATTTTTGTCAGCTTTTCTACCTCTAATGTTTCGTCCACCTCTCTTATTGGTAACAATTGGTATATTATTATCACACAGAGGCCCTTCAGCTTTCTCCATGATACTACAATCGGTTTGGACTTTAGGTGGAGCAGTTTTAAGGTGTAATGTCTTGTTTATTGTGTCTTCAGTAATTTTAGGATCTACTTTTACAGGATCAAACACTTTGTCATCTTTCGTATTAATGTCCACGTCATTACACAAGGAATCTACTTTTTTAATCACCGATTCTATGTTTAAGTCTTTAGCACTCCAAGAATCGTTTTCATCATTTTTTAACGAATTATTACTCACTTCAGAGTCAGTTGGCAACAATGTAAGAAAATCACTATCACAAGTTTTGTCTAAATTTTCCGACTTTTCAGATTTTTCATTTTCAGAAGTGCCATTTTTAGGCTCATTACTAGATGTGTTGGTATTATCTCTGGTCATAGGGTCTGTTGAATTCGTTTGCATTGTATTATTTTCTATAAGTGGCATTTCACTTGCTTGACCATTATTACTGGTATCGTTTTTTTCGTCTTTGACATTTTGAACCAATGGTTGACTTTGAAATGACTCCACTGATAAAGTTTCTTTTTTAACATAATCAACAGTATTATCTTCTTCCTTAATTGTAGATGTAATTAATGTTACAGTTTTACCAACATTAACTTCCAATTTTTTTTCGGGATCGTTTGTTACTTTTATTTCATTTGTGTTGTCTTTTAAAAGTTCTTCGAAATCTGTTTCACATTTGGTATTATGTTCAACAGAAGAGGGAGACTGATTTGGTAGTAAGTCTCTTTGTTCTTTTAAATCACACACCTTTACTTTTAACTTCTTAACCTCGCCGCTTTCATCAATTTTCGATTCGTTGTCTCGTATATGATTTTGTAATACTGAGGGGTGTTGTTCTATACTTTTGTCAAATTTTGAACTCATTCTGATCGATGTGGTAGGACTGCTTGTTTTTAATAATAAGGGAGATACGTTGGTAATAGTAGTGGTTGCAGCGGTTAATGAATTAGATAATTCCAGTTTAGCTACGAATGAAGGTGGTCTTATTGTTGCCATTGACAATACTGTTCCCACTTTGGTCGTCACAGGCACTTTATTTCCCTCTAACTGAATTACGTTACTTGTAGGTGTTTGAGTCAATACTCTTTGGGAACCTAAAGAATGTATGACATTAGAACCTTGACTCCGGTTTATCTTATTTGATTCCTGCGAGTTGCATGAAACAGTTTTTGTACCAGTTTGTATAATAGATGTAGTAGAATTATTTACACCCCCGACATGTATAATTGGAGCTGATCCAAAAGGAACATGATTAATTTGTTCGTGTTTTTGTGCTTGGTTTTCCCTTTTCTCGTTCATTTGATTGACAGTATTAATGAAAACTTTACTACTTAAATGTACAGGTGAACTCATATTACTGACGTGCATAGCAGTTTGCATCGATATTAGACAATTCTGAGCCATAACTGTAGCATTGGTACTATGCTTGAGATTAGTTGGCGATAAAATTATTTTCGCATTTTCGGTACTATTATCAGTGACATTTCTCTGTTCAGTTTTTCTAGTGTCGCCCACTTTTTGCTGATGTATTATGGTAGAGGAAGGTATACTTATGCCCTTATTTTGTTGAACAATATTATTTACATTTATTTGTTTAGTCATTGGCGCTAAGACAGGTGTAACAGGTAAACGGTTAAAATGGATTGGAGTACCTTGAGTTTGCACTAACACGGAACTGGGCCTGTTTGGTGACAACATAGACCTTGAGCCGTGTGACATATGCATCGCTTGAATGGGACTCAATGGAGGCTGTTGCATTCGCACAACTGTAACTTGTCCTGGAGATCTTTGTTGTATAGCAGATGGTGAAGCTATTCCCACAGTATTTAAATTTTGTGGAGATGAACTTAAGATAGCAACATTTGTAAGTCGTGGTGATGTCATACCTTCACTTTGTGGGCTTGCTTTGGGGCTCTGCATTCTAGGATCACTTGACATTCTAGGTGACATAACTATACCTTGTGGTTTTTGATATAATATATGAGGCTCTGGAATTTTTATAGTAGGGGGTTGCATGTTAGTTGAAGGCGAACGAACCATTTGATTGATAACCTGATATGGAGTATTCACTCGACCTGAGTTTAATATGGGCCTTGCTGAATGATTTGAGTCTTGGGTCTGCGGCTGTGCGCCTTTAATTTGAACAATATTGGCGGTGATATGTGTTGGTTTGACTTCGCTCTTATCTCGAATAGTTGTAGTATTAGCAGGAACATTTAACAAATGAGGTTCCAGCAACTTATTATTACTTAAGGTCCAAGAAGTTATCACAGGTGTCGCCGTCGATGTCATAAGCTGCACCGGATTCTCTCGCTTTGCTAAGTGAATCTTTACATCCGATTCTTCCCGTCCACTAACTGTAATATTCGCGTCAGCGGCAGTAGTATTTACAGGCGGTATTGATTTAGGTTGAGGAACGACTGTGTTAGGAACGTCACTAGACTTGTTTAGATCGGGACCTGTATTTAACGTTTGATTTGTTGCTATAATATTAATTGGTAGTTTTTCTATAGCGTCCTGAGTGGTATCGTCAGCTTCTTCAGTGTCTGTGTCAATTAATAATAAGTCATTATCTGAGACAGGTGTGTCTGGTTTCATTTCCATTTCGCTAGCATTAAGGTTCTGAACGGCTTGTCTCATTTCTTCAGCGTCTTCCTCAGGAATATTTTCACTTTCAATTGTTGCGCTTTCTATTTCAATTTGGTGTGTGGAATTATTTTCAGTTTCTTCGTAATTAGAAAAATCATTAACTTTACCACCAAAACTTTCACCCAATAAAGCGGCCACTGCATCTTCGGTTTCTTCTTGTGAAATGATTGCTCTCGGTTTTTCATCTGTTTTCTTATCCATTTTACACGACATTTCGACGTCTGATGATTTCTCTACTTTATCTACTTCTTTTTCGGAGTTAGTAATATTTCGCACCGCATCTTCACACAAGTCACCGTCGCTATTGAAATTTGATAGAAAATCTTCTCGATTGTGATTTAAGTTGCTCGGTAAAGGTTCTTTTGGTAACGGTACTTCACTAATATCTGTTGTTACGAGAGTTTCATACGGTGGAGGCATTGGAATTTCTTCAATTTCAATCTCTTTGTTTTCCGAGTAATTAATTTTATTTTCATCCATGTCCGCACTTGTATTAATATTTTTAGAATCCGTGTTTTCATCGGACTGTATTACAATCGGCGGACTGTCAGTTAATCTAGGCAGACTTTGGATAAGTGACTGTTCATCATTTTTCTCATTTTGGTTTACAGTTTGCTCATCATTTGGCAAAGGTATATCCAACAACATTGTTTTTGGTGTGGTCTCTATACTTTCTGCAACGTGGTCAATGTGTTCAGATTTCTCGACCTTTTCTTGGTTGTAAAAGTGATGATGTTCTTTACGGCTTTGTCTGTCTTCTCTATTTTTCTTTTTTTTCTTTTTCTTTTCTTTACACTCTTTTTTTAATTTATCATGCTTAGCTATTTCGTTAATAATAGTAGCCTCCATATACTTAAGATCATTGTGATTTACTTTAGATAGAGTTTCAGAAAGTGTCTCTAGTTTCGCACCACTGTCATCATCTTCCATTACGTCAGCAAACAACCGAGCTTCTATTGCCTTACTTACAGCATCAACATCTAAACTATTATCGTCTTCTTTGAAATATCGTTTTTCCTTGCGTTTTTTCTCCTTTCTACGTTTATTGTCCTCTTTATCCTTTAGCTTGAAATCAGAGTTGTTTGAACAGAATACAGAGTCTGTGTCATGCGTAGAATAGTTATTTTTATGAGAATTAAGGACTTGCGTATCTCTGTCTGATTCATCTGAGAGTGGTCCAAAGATGTCTTCCATTTTCCCTTCTTTCTTTATGGTATTAGAGATACTTTCATTAGTTATGTCAAAGCTGTTGTTTACAGATTTCTTTTCTCTCTTCAATTTATTTTTGTCATCACGTGTTTCATCTGTATCTATACTATCACGTAATTTATCTTTTCTTTTATCTTTTTGTTTACTATATCGGCGTTGTTTTATAGTATTCTTATGCTTGTGATCTCCTTCTAGCAAACTAGTATCACTGTTTTCAATTTTTGTTTCTTCATCAGAATAAGCCGACTTGTGTCTTCTTTGTTTTTTCTTATGTTTTTTCCTATTTTCACCAGTGATTTTGTTAGATATGGATTCGTTTTCAGACGAAAAATCATTCGACAAGGATTTAATGTAACTTGATTTATAACCATTATCATTATCAAGATTTAGCTTCAGTTTACTATCGTCACTATCGCTCTTTCCAAATAAATTTAACAAAGATTTTTTTTTACAATTGTTTTCTAAATTTGTTATGTTATCATCTTTTAACCTCTGTACAGATTCAGCATCCGAAACTACTTCTTTTTTCATTTCAAGGAAAGTTGGACTTTTGCTTAGGCTTCTCTTAACAATTCCATCATCTGATGAATCTGACATGATCCGAGTTCTGGAATTTTTACGAGACAGTTTGTTGCGCATGTCATCTTCATTTGTACTGCCATCGAAATAATCTTCTATTTTATCACGCTCGTAATCCAGCCCAAGAATTTTTTCCCGTTTTCTTGAATGAATTACCATATTGTCATCGTCCGTTGAATTGTCCATTGACGATTTGGAGTGTTTTTTTCTGTCCTGGTCAGAATCACTATCTTCGTCCCAACTAGATCGTTTCTTTTCTTCGCGCTTTGCTCGACTTTGTTTTAACTGACTAAATTTGGCTTTTATCTTTTCTTGTCGTTTTTCTTCTTCTTGTTTTTGCATATTTTTGCATGAACGAGCTTTAACTTTGTCGTACATAGATATGTATATAGGACCGTCATCGACTATATCAAATATCGAATGCTTCTTTGGTTCATCAGAATCAGAGCTGTCGCTGCTGTGAACAAGTTTACGACTCTTGCGTTTATTGTTATCAATTTTATCATCTCTACTTTTACGATCTGTTGACATTCTTTTTTCACGGGCTGCTTCTTTTTTCTTATCTTCGCATTTAGGTTTTTTATCATCTTTAATTTTACCCATGAGTTCTGCTTGCTGTAACGCGTCTTGTTGCAATTGTAATTCCTGAATTTGCTGTAACTGTTGAATCCGCTTTTTCTCTTTCATTTCTTTTCTTAGAGCTCTTTGCTTTTCATCTTCTTCACTCGACCTTAATTCTAATGTAGCTAGGAAGTCTAATCTTAATCCTTCGGGTGGTGTATGTGTGTCCATGTGATATTTGTCTTCAACTTCCTCTTTTGGGCTCTTTTTTAAAGGCTTTGGTTTATCGACACCTTTAGACCCTTTAACGTCATTACGATCGTTTTCCTTCAATTCATTATAAATCTCATCTGGTGGTTTAACTTGATTTTTCTTGTCATCTTTAGTTTTACTTTCTAAGATTTTGGCAAAATGGCCTTTACTGAATTTAGTAGTTTTATGTTTATTATCAGCGCGATTATCTTTAGAATTTCTTCTTTCAGGAATCTTTGCATCACTTCGACACTTTTTAGTATCCTCGTTAAAAGCGTCGAGACTATCTTGTGAAGACATTCTTCGTTTATGTCCAATATTAGGAGGCAAACTAGAACTAGAATTTAATCGTTCTTTGCGTTTTGCCTCGACACTAGGTGAATCTAAAGAATAGTGTCTCTGTTTTTCGATATTGTCCCCTTTTGATTTTAAATTATGATCTATCGTTATTTCACATTTACTTTTGGCATGTATTGCAGAATCCTTATCTTCTTTGACATCAGTTCTCATGGGTAATTCTTTATTTATATTATTTTCATGTTTATGAAACAAATCACAATGCCTTAATTTTGGTTTAGCATCTTCTTTAACTTCAGTGTTTTCCGATTCTTTTAGTTTAGAAGATTCATGAGACGTTCTAGAGGTTGAAGAATCTGTAGAATCTTTGCGCGAAATATCCCTTGAAGCTTCATCTCGAGATGATTTACGATGTTTTACAGAATCTGAATCTTTCTTAACATCTCTCCTAGATTCGCTTTCTTTCTTTAATCTATCGTGTTTGTATTTGTCATCTTTTTTCGTTTTAGGAGCTGCTAAATCTGTGTCTACAGCATCTTTTCTTGGTTCCTTTTCATTTCTCTCTTTTTTTCGATGTTCATGCTTAGCTGCAGATATCACTGTAACAGGACAATGCCGTATAGGTTTTTCTTCAAGATGTTTGTTTTTTTCCGTTTCTTTATCAGTTTTATCCTTGTGAATTTTTTCTCCTTCTTTTTCTACTTTGGTCTTGTCCGTTTGAATTTGTAATTTTTCCAAGTTCTTATCAGATTTAGTTTTTGATTTATCTTTGTCGGAATCGTGTTTATCCTTTTCAATTTTGTCTTTACAATGTCTTGATTTATCGCGATCATTTTTCGCACGATCATCGTAATTCTTTTCAGAGTCTGTTATTTTCTTATCAGTTATAATAGGTGTAAACTTTTCTTTATCGAACGCTTTATCGAACTGAATGTTCTCTTTTTCAAACTTTGCAATATTGTAGTTATTAATTTGTCTATCTTTAAGAGCTTTATCTGTGTTGTTTGATTCTTGAGTCAGAAATTCTAAATTACTAGATTTAATGGAATTGCTTGCATTTAAGTGATTTTGTTGAAGTTCAAATTCAATTAATTCTTTGGACATGAGATTTTCGTTTATGCCCTCTTTATTTTTGTAATTACCGGATTTACGCAATGGATCAAATTCACTTTCGCTACTGACTTCAATTCTATCTTCTTTTTTTTGGAATTCTTGTTTTATTACGTTTTCCTTCATGAATATGCATTTTCTTTCAAACTGCGATTCAAGTTTTTGATTTTCATGATAATTTTCAACTCGTTTTAATAACATATCCATAACATCGCGAGCACTGGTATCTTCTGTTTGAAAAGTAAAACACCCACGATCGCTGGGGTTAACCACTTCTTTTTTTACAAGAGTCGCACTGCCATCTGTCGATTTGATGTTAGTACAATCTGGCTGAATTCGTAGATTACTCGTCCCAACGCTATAGTTACTGGGCTGATTCTGAGGAGAAGTTTCACCTACGTCCATAACGACATTCAACACTTTTTCTTCGATCATTGTAGGAATACCAATTTCTCCGTCACTCGAACGAAAATCTTCGGGCGCTCTTGCAAATGGTTTCAAATCGCGTTCTAACCCGAAAGATGAACGTTGTACATTTAAGTCCAACAGCTCCCTGTCCATAATATCAGGAGTTCTAAGACACATACGTCGATCATCAGTAGGCGTTGTGGGTGCGGGTGGCGTAGAAGGTACTGGGGGCGGCGTAGGTGGTGCTGGTGGAGTCGGTGGCGCTGGCGGTGTGGGCGGCGGCGGAGGTGGATGCGCAGGAAATGGATAGCGGAGCGCTCGCGGGGTACATGGACCAATGCGAGCGCGTGGACTGGCGCCAGGGCTAGGAGCACGTCCAGCTCCTTCAAGCCGTTCAGAGTCTTCGTCGAACACAGACCGCTTTGCGAGCAGAGAACGCACCACTTCCGATGGTTTCACCTCATTTATGTCAACTTCGAGAAGCCGGTGCCGGAGGCGACTGCGATCTGGTGCATCAGCTAGAATTCGTGACCCGTTAAGCTTTTCGTCAAGACTCCGAATACGCTCCTCGAGTGAAGGCGAGTGTGGCGCGGAGCCTCCGCTAGAAGAAGATGCAGAGGGGGGACGCGGCGGTGAGTCAGGCGCGGGAGCAGGTGCAGGACGAGGCGCAGGTGGCACACTGCGTAGCAGCTGTACAGCAAACTTCGGCAACGGCAGACTCATAGGAAGTGGTGGACGTTCGCGAGGGGTGCGGCGCGGTTCCACAGGCGGGGCATCAGGTTCATCGCGTAAAGGTGTGCCGGCACGTGAGTGCGACCCAGAACCTTCACGACGACGTCTATGTCTCCGACGTGGTCCATGTCTTTCTCCTCCACGCGAACCTGAACGCGAGCGTCGGGCGCCAGCACTACGATGACGTTCCTATAAATTTGAAGTAGAAGTAATTTAAGACTAACAAATTGTCTAAGCGGTTGTAAAAACTTAATTGCGGTATAAATAGCAAAAGATAAATATAGGTAAATCTTTAAATATAAGTAAAACATTATCTACAGCTACACAAATAGGCAAAGACCTATTTCGGTACCTTTATCTGCTGTTTTACAAGTGATTTTTATAGTAAGTAGTAAGAGTATGTATGCACTTGAATCATTAGCAATCTAATCTTTGCTGTTAACTTTGAACTGAATCGTTGCTGATTTTTATTTACCTTAGAGTGTTTGCGATCCTCTGGGCTGGAGTCGCGACGGTGCCGTCGCGCTCTGTGTGGCGATACTACTACAGACTGCAGCCTTTCTTCATAGGGCACATCCTCGGGCTGCGGGCTTGAACCCACTTCGTCGTATACCCTGTAAGAAAATCCGTAGTGTTAGATAATCTAATTAATTTAGGAAGTACTGCATAAAAATGCACAATGATTCAACACTTGAAACAGTTATTAATTATTAGGTCCTTACATATGAAATTAGTGTTTTGTCGTAATTTATAAATTAGTTTATTATTTAGTTGGTACATTTGAGTTTCGAAAACAGTAATTCATTCGTTTTTTTCCTCATTATTTTTTTCTTTGGCGTCGCTTATTACCGCACAATGGAAAAAATGAAATATCGGTATATTTACGAGTACGAGTTCTACCGTGGCACCAGTGCTGCAGAAACAGCTCGAAGGATTAATGATGTGTACGGCGCTGGCGTCGCAAAAGAAAGCACGGTACGTTTTTGGTTTGAACGTTTTCGTTCTGGAAATTTCGACCTTCAGAACCAACACCGTGGGACGGCCGGAGACCAAAGTAGAAAATGAAGAATTAAAGGCTATTGTGGAAGCGGATCCATCACAAAGCACTTCATTAATGGCTTCAGGGTAAGTGATAAAACTGTATTAATCCAATTGAAGCAAAACGGGCAAGTAAAAAAAACTTGAACAGGTTTCTGCAGCTTTCTAAAATCTGGCTAAACGATTACGGCAGATATCTATTGTTAGCAACTGAAAACCATGAAGGAAGAACTAGCTGCTAAACAACCGAGATTGGTCAATCGCTCTAGGCCACTGCTGCTTCACGACAACGCAAGACCACACACTGCACAACAAACAACCACTAAGTTAGATGAGCTACAATTGGTATTGCTGCGACATCCACCGTACTCCCCGGACCTTGCTCCAACAGATTACCATTTTTTTACCGGAATTTGGACAACTTGACCTGGATTTGGACGGCAGTCCAAACCGCCTTCAAAGAGTTTATTGATTCTCGCCCCCATGGTTCTTTTAGTAAAGGGATCAATGAACTACCTATGAGATGGCAAAAGTGCATAGATAACAACGGTGCATACTTTGATTAATTAAATATATTTAACAAAAATAAAATGACTTTATATTCCACCCGTACAAAACGCCAATTTTATATATTATATAGTTTAAGTTCACAAATAATTAAAATTTCTGATTATTATAAAAATGTAATTAAACACTTTTCAATGAACGTAATAACTGCCAAACTGCTAAAAATTACATTAATTGTTGTTTCGTTGCAAATTGTGATAAATATACGTGAGTGTACCATGCTTATTTTGATCATGTAATTTTAAATTTAAAAGGTAATTGAATTGTGCTCATCTCACTCAATTATTTGTCCTTTGTCGAAATCAAACCCAAAACCTCGAAATATGTAAAGCTAGATTAGTTCTACCAAATCCAAGAGCAGTTTTTTATTCGGAATAGAACCATAATATACTTATACGAGTACATGGTATAGACTGGTCCGTGTTGTGGTATAATGGTGAGGGGTTCACAGAAGCGACGATTTCTCAAAAATTAAAATGCTGCCTTAGTTGACGAGATTTTAACATGACGACTATGTTTGATTACTTAAACAAAAAATTACTATTATGTAACTGCCCAGGTGGTGCAGTGGTAGCGTATGCGACTGCTGTGCTGAGGTCTCGGGTCGGACCAAATGTTTGTATGATCTGCAAATATTTATTTCGTAGTTTTCTATGTATTGAAATCAGATGGCACAACGCCATCTGATTTCAATACCAGATTTCAGTGTCAGACGACCAGAGTATTTAGATCGGGCTCATGGCCCTTGCAGCGGAGCTTTCCACCTCTTTTTGTAGGGAGGTCATCTGGGATCTGGTAGCGCAGCATCTCATTCTCTCGCTGTAGCCTCCCTCCTGCGTCCGTCAGGGCCAACGTGTCGGCTTTACTGAAGAGATCCGAAACACCGGCGCAAATGGTAATTGGCGGTGGCCCTTTTGCCGTCGATGCGGCCTTTCATTACTTCTTCTCTCTACTTCTTTATTCAGATAAAAGTTTTCGATCGCTGACAGAAACTCTTGGAATTAAATGTCTACATCGGTGAAGCGTTGTTCTTGCGCGACTTTATTTACGCGAGGCTGCTCCTCTCCTGAGGCAGCTGGGGAAGAGGATGGTCCCGCCGGTCTGTGTCCGTCCCCATCCCCGTCTTACTCCCTCCGCTCTTCGTGGCACTTGCACCGCTTCGCCGCGCAACCTTGGTAAGTCGGCTTTCCCTCCTCGTCCTACTCTTTACAAACATCATCATCATCAGCCTATAGTAGTCCACTGCTGGACATAGGCCTCTCCCATTGCACGCCACTTAGATTGATTTTGGGCTTCGCGCATCCAGCTCCTGCCTGCACTTACATTTTTTTTTTAATAAAAAAATCACTTTATTTAATGATACTATAAAAAAATCTCAGTTACTTAATGGATGAATCTACATTTTTACCGCGTGCAACTCAATACTTACTTATAAAATAGTTCTTTAATTCCAGAAAAAAAACATGGATCAAAATCATCGAAATCAATCTTTGTTATTTTGTACATCGCTGCTATTTCGTTATTCTGTTTGAAAATAGTTTTTTTTAAATATTAATTCGGACCAAAAATCCATAATCTAAGCTCATTTATTTTTTAGCGAAAAAAGATCCCCGTTGTCCATAAATTTTAGTACGTAGAAATTGTCTCCCGTAATGTTCAATAAATTAGTATAGGTATATCGGCACCGATCTTGAGCGCTGACCTTCACCTTCCAGAATTCGATTTTTGGGTCCGTTTGGAAGTATGAAGTAGGACGGGGGGTCTATTAATTATTAACGTCAGCCAGTGATTGGCTCGCCGATGAACAAAACGAATCAGGAGCAGCGATGCTCTTGATTCGTTTTCTCGTACTAAAGTACGACGAGTACACTTCCGAGCAAATTAATAGGGTCTTTCTTTTTTTTATTTATTTTATTTTATACTTTATGCACAAAAGTGACACAGGCGGACTTAATGCCGTAGGCATTTTCTACTAGTCGACCTTAGGGCGATGCAGAGTCAAAAAAAATGGTAGATGCACAGAAATTAGAAATGTGATTTAAAAGAAAAAAAAATTAGTATAAATAGAATATCATATGCACAGGGTACTTAAATAAATTGCATTAGAATATATTTTAATAAAAGAGATACATACATAATAATATATAATAGGTATATAATACATAAGTATTTATGTTTACATAATAATATACATTTATACATACATATAATTATACATATTATATATATATATACATATACATACATACACACAATAAATTCTAGAAGAGAGAGGTATCAAGGTAGGTTTTTTATTAATAATTTCATCATTTCTACTTTCGCAATTCATCAATATAATTTAATAGCGTAATGTATTCTCTCATATGTACCTATAACACAATACGACAATGAAAGAATGGGCACCGTACCAGTACCAGCAGTAAATACGAAAGTAATTTAATGGAAGCTGTCAATCCTATTTCACCCTAATAATTTTATGCGGAAAATATTTTTTAAACAAAATCAATACTTCCTTTTTTTTATTACAATTTTAGTTAAAACTATTTCTCTTACCATAGAAGCAATAAGAAGTTACGTAGTAACTTTACTACGTAACGACTTATGGTTTTGATCTATTTTTATTCTTTTCTAAGACAAAATAAATTATAAAAAATGGGTGTGGATTTTATTTTGCCATATCGGCACGATGCGGAAAGCAATCCCCATTCTGTCGCCGAGAGCTCAAGATCCGTGCCGGTAACTATATACGCGCGCAAAAACTTCAGTGCCACCCGATCGAAACTTATTTAAAAAATATTTCAGGTAGATATGAAATATAAAATAATTATAAACAAAATAAATAAATAAAGGCAGATGTAAAACAAAGCAGTGAGTATCCATAATGTACCCACTTTTTTACCCGACTGTGCAAAGCCTAAAAATATGTCTACCGATTCATGAGCTTAGACATAGTAACACAAACACCTTCAAAATGACTTTATTAAAAATGAATGAGTTACTAGAAAAACGCATTGTACAAAGATATTCTTTTGACTGGCCAGTTGGTCTAGTGGTTAGTGAACCTGACTGCTAAGCCGGAGGTCGTGAGTTTGATTCCCACCCATGACAAATATTGTGTGATGAGCATAAGCATATTTATATAATATATATATTATATATATATACATATATACGTTTATCAGCAGATTGGTTACCATAGTACAGGCTTTGCCTAGTTTGGGACAGGACTGTCATGTGTGAGATGTGTGAAGTTTTTATTATTACATTTCCAAAAAAAATGCCGTAATAATGATTGTTTCAGGAGACAAGAAGAAACTTACAGTTCATAGTCAGAAAGAATTACGGGGTAGATTAGATGATAATATATTTGTTGAACTTTGATAACTCTAAAACTAAATTCGATTTACTTCGGTTTAAAAGATCACAAGAGTTCTGCTTGCACTGATATAAAGAGATTACGTGTCACCTGTACCGTCGGTCCGTAGTATAATCTGCAGCATCGTAATGTTCAAGCGTAGTGTAACGAGGAGTTCTTGAAGAACCACGACCATAACTGGAACCCCGCGATCGAGACGTGCAAGCGTCGTATCTGCCGATAAAAGACAGCATAATTACGTAAGCAGTCGTATTAGACATTTTTTTTTTGTTTGACAAAGTTTGTTGAGTTTGCAATTTTATTTCTAAATAAAACGAAAACAGATACAAACCGAATGGGTTCATGGCGAGCCGGGGGCATGTATCGTGTTACTGTAAGATCACCAGTCAATCTTTCAGAACCCGACAAGGCTGAAGTGCCACCATTTTTTTCCAGTTGTTCATAAAACGCCTCCTTAAAATAAATTTATACAAGATTATATTTCAAATATAAAATTTTAGTAAAACGGATTGCAAACCCAAACAACGTACAATTAATATTAAAATATTATTTGTGGCGTAATATGTATAAGGGCGTTGAAGACTATATAATGTATTGCAATGATCTACATTACATAGTCTTCAGCGCTCGTACAAATGATTACATTTTACATAGCAATAGTCACAAATACTTAAAGTAATATCTAAAAACGATGGAAATATAGTTTATTACAATATCCTATTACAATTAACGTGTTTCTCCTCAATACCCTATATCCCGAGACGATGTAGAGATGTATCAATTTTATTATGTAACGGTTATATATAGCAGTCGTGTGACAGTTCCAGGACATGGAGCTAGGGTAGGTTTGTTTCACCTGACATTCGCGCGATGCGTAGTCAACACAGAGGCGCGGATGGTCAGGTTCGGCGGCGGACACGGTAGCCGCCACGCGGCGCAGTTCGCGCACGGCAGCGCCGGCCGCCGCCGCTTGCTCGAAGTGCACCAGCGCCGCACCCGCCGCGCGGTCCACGCACACCGACGTGGCGCCGCCACACCGTGACACCGCGGACAGCACCTGCCACACGCATTCCACACACTGTTCTAACGTTGTGACGGTATCTGATGTCGTGACCCCAGGTCCGGAATTTTGAAAAACTAGGCTGCAATAAATAGGCAGTGAAAGCCTTGCATCCAGTAATGCTGGTGGAGCCAGTCTCCTACGAAGGGAGTCGGTTAGTTCGAAAGCGCGGTGCGGCGCGGTGCAAGAGGATCTGTTACGAACTGTATGGGCGTAATGAACCAGAAACGGATGAGCCCTCATACAATTTGTTTGCGGTCGGTACGAGTGTTCATATGCTGGCGTAGGCAGAAAAATTAACATTCTTTTTACTCCTCAGTAATATCCAACTGCCAGTGTAGCTCACTGAATCAAACTACAAACATGTTGGAATGCACTCATTTAGTTAACGGACAATAACACTTTTTGCAGTTCGTCCAATTCATCTCATTTGCAGTTAGTAATTTGTCCAATTTGTGTTTAATACATTTCACAGATAGTCAATATAGTTAGTAGTTTGTAAACCAAATGAAACTAAATAAGAACTTTAGTCGCTATCTATGCACCTTTAATTAAAAATCAGCTAGCATTGATATGGGTTATACATCTGCTTTATATTGAAAATGTTCAAATTAAAGCTTTATACACACTGAAAATAACTAAGAGCTCTTTCTTGAGAAAATTAATCTTCGTTTAGTACAGTGCTTTTTTGGCGTTAATTTGATAGTAACTTCTAAATTTTTACAAAAAGTATGGAGGTGTAAACACAACACTAAGTTACATAATCTTTAATGACTGATTTTACGATACCCTTAACCAATTGCATTGACGAATTGAATGTATGAAAATGTCTATTTACATTGATCTGGTTTTTCTATATTAGAATGTACGTGTATTAAATTAAATTATGTCAGGCGAGACGAGACGCTTTACTCCTTTAAATGGGCCCCCGTCATGTCCGAAACTAATTCAAGCATACCCGAAATATAGACACCACACTTGAGCAAAACCGTAGGTATGTCTTAAATAAATATGACTTACAAATAAAATGTATTCCAATATGTAAGTATTTACAAAAAAAATATTATAAATGTGATTATCCGCATTCTAAAATATATAAATACTATAATACATAAACGAAATCTGATCTGCTTGAAAACTTCTTAAAGAATACTTGTATATTAATCCCTTAACGTTTTTAATAATATTAGTATTAAAGACAAAGTTATATTTTTAAACAAATTATTATTTATATTCAAAAGAAAAAATTACCTGCTTTTCTGTGTGTTCGGTCAGTCCGTCTACCCACACACAAGTAGTGGCTACGGGTTTACCGAAACCAAGTTTAACGCGTGATCCGCCCACATATTCGCCATCCATTGCACGAATGGCTTCCACCACGCTCGATATAGAAGCGTATTGACAAAAAGCGTAGCCCGCGCCGCCACTGCTCCCTTTTTTGATATCTATCTCGATTATTCGTCCGAAATGTTTGAATTTATCTCGGAGTTGTTGTTGCGTCACGTCCTTTTCTAAATTACCGATAAATAGAGTCCTGGTTGCCTGTAAGTTAAAACGTAATTTAACATTGAAGTAAAAACAATTTGGTGAAGAAATATTCACAACAATGCAAATAAATAAATTATAATCTGGTGTATCTTATACAGTTACATTAAGTATTTCAAGAGATAAGTAAGACAATTTGAGTAAATAAATATTGTTAACCTTCGGATGGTATTCATCGATATCAGTCTCGTAAGGTTTAGCCGAATCTGCGTCTTCATCACAGCTCTGGTGCGGTGCCACGGAGATCTTGCATCCAAAAAACAGTTTGTCCTGGGATACTTCTAATGCTTTCTCCACGTCGGACGGCTTTTTAAAACGCACGACTGCGTATCGGTCAGCATTCTGACCAACTACTTTAACCCATACTACTTTGCCGTGCTTCTTATATTCGTGATAGAGACCATCTTTCAGTGAGCTATCAGTAGATCTTGTAGGTAGATTTCGCACACAGATTGCCAACGGCCTACCATTCGCCGTCGAGGCCCACTATCAACACAAAGTAAACATATAAATATTATAGTGTAACAGCAATTTTTCTTTTTTTTAATACCACTGTCCGGAATAGTTCACTTTTACTGGCAATAAGAAAGAGCCTGCTTTGCCAATTATAAATGCAATAAATAAGAAAATATCACGATTGTTTAAATTCATTTTCATGAATAAAAATATAATATGGCACTAATGGTATTGAAAGTAATGCGTGTATTACGACGACTTGAAAAACGATATAATTGCAATTATTTCTACCTAACTACTATTGTAAAATATAGGTCCTGTCCTTAAACCGAGATAAAAAAGGAAAACTATTAAGTTTTAGGCAGGTTGTTTCAGTCTTTGAGATTTTGCCTAATAAAATTGTATTATCGGTCTCTCATCTAAGGTTTTTTATGAATTTATTACCTTGACTATTATTACCTTGTTGGAAATCTACCAGAAATGATGGCAACTACAACACCTTAAAGTATCTAGGTCTACCAGTAACCCTATTTAAGTATATGGGCATGTTATGTGAGAGATGATTTAACTAAACATCATAACTTCCGACATTAGATCTGCTAGAAAACGAGTAAATATAAGTTGTTTGCCTATAGTTAAAACAGAGCTATATATCGATTTAAATATTGATCCTGAACAGTCATGATTTTAGGTTTATCATATAAATAGTGTTTTATACGTGTTTTTTAAACAATAAATAAAATACCACAACATAAACTAATGATTGAAAACATACTTGATGTTGTAACGTCGGTGGTGTTCGGTGGTTGGTATGGTGTGAGAGGGGTGGCTGTGTTGCAGGTGTTGAAGCGCGTGAGGTATCGCTCGGTTCTGGTGAACTCGAGTCCGAACGCGACGAGCCTGACCCCGAAAGGCGACGTCGGCGCCCACCCTCAGTGCCACCACCAGGCGTACTTGGTGTACTTTCACCACCGGTCGCTCCCGAAACTCTGTCTCCCGTCGCATACCATCGATGGTGGGGTGTAGTTCTGAAACAATTTTAAGAATTTAAAAGTAATCGTTTAATATATAAAAATATTTTTACACGGTATACAGTAAGATACAGTTAACCATTAAATGTGCAAATAAATAAGATCGCATCATAGACTATATTTTTCATGCATGTTAAATCTAATTGCACAAGGGAAGGTTTCTATTTGATATTAAAATCAGAGGTATTTGTATAATGCGCTATCATATTTAGGGTTGGACAGTACTTATATATAATATAGAAGATATATTAAAAACAGCATTCAAGTGTTGAAATAAGCAACAGCGAAGTCGGTATTTTAAATCAAAACAAATAGGCTAGTAGTAGTAGCTTAAAAAAATATTGTTAGTTTAAATTTGCCAAATTAAATAAAAAGCTCACGCTTTGCAAACTAAAAATGTAATAGAGCACATGCCTCAAATTAAGAAATTGAGAAAGAAATCTTCACTTAACCATGGTCTGTGTATTCAACGAAATAAAAACCTCGACAAGAATTAAGTGAAAACGATATTGGTAACTTATGAAAGTTCTGAAGATTGTCTCTTTGTATTAAAAAGTATATAGTATTAAAAAGTAATAAATATAGTGCATAAACAATCACAAATATCTATGACTAGTTGAACAGGTTGCAGTTAAAAAAAACTTGTTTTAGGTGTTGAAGTAGTGTTAGATGCTTAACATTTTCTATGAGGGTATATTGTCAAACTCATCGCAACTCAAAATATCATTCATAACAAAAAATTTTTGAAATCACTTTGACTTTGACTCAAAAGTCATAGATCTACACGCCCATAGCAACAATCTCTGTTTTGTTAACTATTTAGCAAAATAAATATATACGTATCGAAAATCTATTATATGCCTGTGCTGATCTACAATCGCTCGTTTTCAAAGGGTTGAGCCTTATGAGAAGAAAGGGCAAATACACTCACGGACACTCTTTTTTAATAGACAGATAGTTCCAATGACATCATTAAATATACCACAACATTATTTCGAAGTGTGCCAGCATGTCAGTTATTAAGGACTAAAAGGTGAAAAGACAATGAAGAGAAAACAAGATTAAGAAAAAATATCGAATAATAAGAAAGTGAAGTGAAACATAAAAAATGGCAAAAATAAATAAAAAACACACACACATTTCCACTAAGTACGTAAGTGAAGAATGAAATAGCCTGTGCTCAATTAATCCCAAACATTATTGTCTTCTATGTAATCCACAATTCAGTAATAGGCTTTCTAACATAGTTTACGTTTTATTGTGGATTTAAATTTGTTTACAATTAAGTCTTGTATACAATTAGGGCTTTTATTATAAAATCGGACATAAAAATGAGTTGTTTATCTTTTGGAGCCTAGAAGCAGGTACAACAAGTTTATTTATATTTTTGGTCTTAAAAGCATGAACATAACTATAGCTATCTTTGTTTTCATGAACATATACTACATTTTCATATATATATATTGACATGCCAGTCATTACATTTTTTTCTTTAAATCTCTGCCTCAATGAACAACGATTGCCTAAATTATAAATTGCTTGAATAGCTCTCTTTTGAAGCACAAAAATAGTTCGACTCGGTAGCATCCCTCGCAATAGAATACCGTACAACATTATGCTATGAAAATAACTAAAGTAAACAAGTCGTTAAAATAAACAAGATTTTTCTTAATGAGTATGCTGCTGAGCTGAGTCTACTCGAGAATTTATCGATTTATCGGCCCCACTGCAGCTTAGAATTTAGTGTTATTCCTAAAAATGTCGTAGTATCCACAAGGTCTAACTCGACATTCTTAATCATCACAGTGGTTTTCAGTGGCTTGACGTTTGGCGTGGTGAACCGTACACACCTAGTTTTTTGTTCATTCAAAAGCAAATCGTTAACGTTATCAATGACAAACCAATGAACAAATCGGCAACAAATCTTTTGAAAAATAGTTTTTAAGGCCCCAGGAGTTTTAAATAATATCGATAAAGTAATATTTAATTCATTGTTATACTCTTGAATCAAATAACAGTATATTTTTAATTTAAACAAAAGATATGCCACAAAAACACGGTCACGATGCCGTGGTTTATTCGGACAAGCTCGCACTGTCGCCTTTTACAAATCCTTTCTCTATTGGTTTAAAGTCATTACTTCTTCACTTATAATATTTTGAATTTGATCGCTTTTCTGCACCAAATTATAATTTCTCTTGGCACACCAACTACAAGAGAAAACAAGCAAGACAGAGTGATTGGTATATCAGCTGTCAAAATCGTTCTTCATCCCATTCTTATATCAAACCCTTATTCCGTACTCATTCCAACTCATAAATTCTTAACTCATCCCAATTTCTATGATTAAGTCACCCCAAACGCAATAAGTACTGAAAAAGTATTGAGAGCACAACCAATTCAATTATTTATTAAAGTTACAAAGAATAAAAGGAATAAAGGTTTTTAAGTATAGTTTTGGTATGTGCTTTACCGAACCTATATAATTTCTGTGGAGGATACACGTTCCAGTGTTCACGAATACTGATTAAGTGAAAGAGACAGAATTATCATAGTATAGAGACATAGAATAGAGTAAAAGAGACATAGAACTCCTTTCATTAGAATAAGTTTTTCTAGCTGCACCTCTTGTTATGTAAAATTGCAAACTACTACTAAAGTTGTGCTAATCATAGTGCTCTAGGATTCCAAATATATAATATTATTTTAAATCTGGTTTATGAAGATAAGTGCTAATAATTATTTTCAATTTTTAACTACACTGTCAACTAATGGATTATGTCACCGACACAAGTTCGACTTATCGGTTAGAAAAGCACATCGGGGGAAAAGGTTTACAACAAATAAAATTGCTGTATTTAAAACCTAAATATTGAAAAAAAACGTGTATTGTAAATGACACCACTGAAACACAACACTGGAATGTTGTTTACATATTTTTTTTGTTAACAACACCACCGTAATGAAATTCTAACACAAAACTTTTGCATTTTTCGATATCGATTATTTTTCATTCGTGAGATCACGACCATTACCATTTTAAAAAGCTTTATCCAGATATTTATAGAAGTTGCTTTATAGATAGCAGATGAAGTGAAATAAAGATACGGATTTATTTATTTCTGATCAAGTTTTACAAATTAATTTAGTTGTTTTGTAATGGATACAATTGTTATGTTTTACGAATCCACGTGAACTCGACCAATTTCAACATTATCATTAACAATTAACACGTAACGAATTGTTTTATTTCACGTTATACATCACTAGTCAGCAATGATGTGGTTAACAAAAAAATGTAAACGACACCCCAGTGGTCTGGTTCGGGGGTGTCGTGTCATCATAGGGGAGTGGGGGGAACGACTCGGGCAACCGAGCACTGGGCACGCAGTCATCGCGGCGGTAAGACCCGTTATGGAGGATTGGCTCGAGAGGCGTCACGGGACCCTCTCATACCGACTGACGCAGGTGATCACTGGGAAAGGATGTTTCGGGGATCACCTGTGTCTGATCGGCAAGGAGCCAACGCCAGAGTGCCACTGCGATGGTCAGACCGTGGACACGGCTCTCCACACGCTGGCAGAGTGCCCGGCGTGGGTTGAGCAGAGGCGAGACCTCGTGGCGGCCATCGGAGTGGGAGTTCTGTCGCTCGATAGCCTGATTGCGGCTATCGTGCGGAGCGAGAGTGCGTGGAACTCTGCCGTCTCCTTCTGCAAGTTATGCTCGAGCGGCGGGACCGGGAGAGGTTTAGGACTCTCCCGGCCCGCCAGGCCCGGGAACGGACCATGTACCGCAGGCGACTCGCAGAACGACCTCCGTCCTCCATAAGCGCAGGCCTGGGGGTGACAGGTGAGGCCATCTGTCACCCTAGCAGAAGTAGGCCGGGGTGGCGACGAGCGCATTGCGAAGCGCGCTCGCTGCCAGGGAGCACAGGGAACATGGGGTTCCCACACGGGGGGGTCGTCTACTCGTCTGTAGATGACCCGAGGTATGTCAGGGACCAGGGACTTCCTTTCTAGGGTATACCTGGTTCCCCGGCTATTAGTACCCGAGACGGTGTGCGGTTTTAGTCGGTTCGAGTCCGACATGCCACCGACAGGTGGTATCCGAGGGGATTTCCGCACGGAAAAAAAAAGGGGGTGTCGTTTATAATACACGGAAAATAAATGTATTTTGATATTTACAAACCGGAACTTTTAATTTTTATAATTTTCATATATCCATGGTCACTCTCACAATTAAAACGAATCTAACGACACCACAGTCGCCAAAATCCATCAAATCGGCTAGACTACAGACTACATACATATACTCGAAATTTCAATAATATAACATTAATAATTAAGTAACATGAATGAATTTTTTGTGTCGCAGTGCCCTGCAGGTTACGCATTACAATTTGCCATAATACATTTTATTATTTCATATTATTTATTAGTAATTTAATAATCTTAAATAAATGGATTGGAAGAGTATTAGCTCATCATCATCACCATCATCAACAGCCTTTACAGTCCACTGCTGGAAATAGGCCTCTCCTTTGAAAGTAAGGATACCACGCTGGCCAGGCGAGTGATTGGCAATTGACAAATCAACATATTCCTCGTTTGTATAGGTCGCTATCTTTAACAGTATCCGAAGCACAAACCAATAGCAATAGTTAGTCACGAAAAGAACAGGGAACAGTAAAAAATACTAGCCAAGTTTTTTACTAGGTACTGCTGGGTTGCACGCCAATTCTTAATACTCCCGGCGCCTTTCAAACAAGTTTTTTTCTATGAATTCTGATACTATCCTAGACTATTTACCTTGTTAGATAGCTGACAAAAGTACATGTTTTTTACTTTTAACACAGATTTTTGTAAATATTACACAAATAACAAAATCTTAAAAAATATTTATTTTATTTTGCTATTATTAACCACCTACTTCAGTCATGTTTGTTAACTACAATTTTGGTAATGAACATTATAAAACAATGCATCAACGTCTCAAAAACAGTAAAAAAAAAACGAAAAATTGAGGATATTTTAAAAAAATGTATTTAATAAGGCAAAATTTCGGCTATTTAAAGAAATCAGCTTAATAGTCCAATATCTTAAAAATGGTTAAGTTTGGGATATGGTATTTCTTAGTGAAATCTATCAGCAGTAATGGCCACTACAACCGCTAAAGTATCTAGGTCGACTTAACCAGTCACCCTGTATATAAAATAATTAAGTCTACTCACACAGAGAGAGAGACACACAATGTATGCAGGCAATATAGCATGTAATTTGTAAGCAGTACAAAAAATAAAGAATTTGTGACACCTCAAAGTAAAATATTACTATATACCTGAGGAACACTGACACCCACAATTAAGGTTTTAAATTTTTTGTGTCCGCCTAATAAAAATAATAACAAACACAAACTTGGCAGTGCTTGGTACTATAATACCATATGTACCAGACTGCTGAGAAACATACTTATATATTTCTAAATACAAACATACTGTAGATAAACACCCAGATATTATTGGTCCTGGGTAGGAATTGAACTTACGACTTGCTAAGGCAGAGTTAGCGGTCAGGGGCACTATACCAACAGACCAGTCAAAAACAAACTACCCATTATCACTGTAATAATTCGACTTTTTCATGTTTATTTTTTGTGTCGTGTTGAAATAAATTATATTATTAAAAATATAGTAACTAGGATAATTCAAATAAAATGCACTGCGCGGATGGCGTAGTGGTTTAAGCGGTCACCACGCCGCGCACTACTACGCTAAGTGTTGTGGGTCCGATCCCCACATAGGACGACATTTTGTGTGATCCACAAATTGTTGTTCTGAATAAAATTAGTAATAAATGTGTAATCGACAAAGGTATTTATTCATTGAATATTTGCTCGCAGTTATTTTGTTGTCTTTAACTGCTCAGTTGAAGTACTGGAAATATTAAAGAAAATAATAAATACCTTTCCACGTTAGAGGGTGGTGTAGAGTAAGGTGCGGTAGAGTTGTTGCGCTGGTACCTGCCATAAGCTGCAGGCGTGTTGCCGCGACGACAATACTCGGTAGCGCTGTCATTTGTTCCCCGCCACGTAGCAGGAGCTGCTGCAGATGCAGCTATCGGACACGTATTACTTGAACTATCTTCTCCACCCCTGAAAAAAATAAAACTTAGTGTAAGAATTTAAAAGACGAGCAGGGTGAATGATTAAAAGACTATACACACAAAAGACAAATGTTTCAATATTTGATATAGTATTTATATATTATTTTACTCTGCATTCATAAAACTCTTTGTTGGACTCAAGGACTTTCAACGTATACAGAGGATTGTAGCGACGCCTGACTGTAATTTGTTATCAATGGTGTACACACTCACTCAGATTCAGATTGATTGGCAACAATTTTCACTTTTTATTGCGCAAAAATTAATCAAAATTAACTAAAATTACTAATATACTAAGTTAAAAAAAAAATTATGTTTAAGAAAGTAAATGATTTAGTTTTATTATTAAGTTGAAATACGAGTACAATTAAAACCATTTTGTTATATTTTGTAATGTTGTTACTTATTGTAACTATCAATTAAATGCAGCGCTAGACAAAAATGCCATTTTTTGCTGGTGCAGGTGCCTGTGCCTGTACTTTTGCCCAGTTTGGGTGGAGCCAGCGTCGCGACAAGACGGCTGTATACGGGGGTTGTCCAGTCAGTGGCACTGTACGGTGTATGGGCGGCGGCTCTAACCACCCGCAATAGGGCATGGCTCTGGCGCCCTCAGAAGATATTGGCAGTTAGAGCGTTGCAGTAATTCATAAGGAATGTCAAAAATTTATTTATTTTTCAGATACCGTATATATGCAACGTTCATCCATCACATCCCCAGCCTTTAATAGTCCACTGCTGGACAAAGGCCTCTCCTTAGAAAGGAGGTTTTGGCCTACTATACCACGCTGGCCAGACGGGTTGGTATAGGGTTTGTGTCAAGTTTTCCTTCTCTTTGCAGTGCTGGTTGTTCTGCGTTAGCTCCCTTAAAGTCGTTACAAAATAAGAAGCCCTTTTTGACGTTTCTCATTTGAGACATGCCGCGATAACTTTGTATGAACGTCTATGTAAGAAATTGAAAAATCAAATTCATTATCCCATTTAATAACTATGTTACCCATACACTATCACAACGCGTATCATAAATAAGCATCAAGTTTATATTGAAAAAATGCACTCAAAAACACGAATTAATCGTTGATTAATATTCCGACAGGACTTTACTACAATGTCATGTCTTTGGGTTGGTTGCCGTAGTGTTGTAACCGTTAAAAAGCCGTTTTATGGCCGAATAAAATAGAGTTTCTGAAAATCGTTTACAAAAATTACATTAAAAAAAAGAGATAAATGTGTAATTAGTGTATCATTTAATATTTAAACATATAAAAACAAAATCTGATCACATATAATCAATCAATATTGCCATGAAAGTAATAGGTCAAAAATTTTATTCTACACCAAAAACATTTATTAGCAAGTGTCTTTGAATTTGTAGCATCAAGAGAAAGTAGTTAAACTGAGTGGATTTAGTAAATAAACGCATTTTATTTGGGTCCTCAATCCTGACGTTCTGCATAATAAATAATCGACTGTACCTACCTAAGATCACAACAGAAACAAAAACCAGAGACACTAACATTTAGTATTTAATAATTTTCTACTAAATAAATATGTACAGATCAACGCTGTATATATTCGGTCTCTGAAAAATAAATTACAGTTTGATATTCCTTATGAATTCGCTATTTAGGGTGACCCTGTCAAAATGTGCAATCACAAGGACTTGTTTTTGAAATTTAATTATAAACAAATCGTCGATTTTCGAAATTTAGAAATATACAGAAATTCTTCAGTTCTAAGTATTTATTAATCAATTTGGAGATAAGTTATACAATGAATTAATATTGGTTGGTCGGTGCTTTGACGAATTTTATACAATAAAATATAAAAGTAACAATTCACTACGTCTGCAATAACTATTTATCAGTGTTGAGATACTGACTATCGTGTCGTGGTGTATAGCGATAGCTAACTCAATAAATATTATTGGGGGTACGTTACCTACGTACCCCCAATAATATTTGCAGACCACATTAATTTGCAGTTACCTCCAAATAATTACATAAAAAAAGACGGGTACGAAACGGAACGAAAACATACCTTTTATATAAGTTATTCATGGACACTAGAAAAAAATTGTTAGGAAATTATAAAGAATAGCTAATAACTTCGTGGATACTTTACTTTTTTTATGACAGGATTATACGTACATTTAGAATAAATTTATACAAAATATAGATGTTTTATGTTCCACATTTCGTCACAAGTATAAGTATGTATATTAGAGTCAAATCTATTTACTGAAGCATCTTACCTGAGGAGCCAGTTAAAATGTGCATATCTCCCATTATCCTTCCATCCTCTTATAGACACTACAAATTTAATATACTTACTACTAAGTGGTGATGAAATTGCACATCAAAATGAAAGACTTCTTTGAAAAATGACAGTCGTATATGTATGGTCTGAGGAGCCACATTTTTATGTATGGTAACTTTTTAATTTTAACATTACCAAGCTCAGGTTTTGTCTACTAACTACTCTCAAATATTACAAAATCATGCTAATTTTGTTTAATATACATCCATGTTCCTAGTTCTGACGTTGGCCCCTCAATCCAAACATTTAGATTGAGGAGCCACCTTTATGTTCATATAACTTTAAAAGTATTATACTTACTACAAAATGGAGAATCGAGTCTATTTTTTTTAAACTTACTACTATACATATAATAATATTAATTTCATTATGATATGAAAAGTGGCTCCTCAATCCATACGGTCATAGTATTTTAATTGCCATATAATATGGGCTTTCGTTCAACATTTTAATTCTTGACGGAGGAGGGTAAAGCCTATGTTTGTGCCGGGTGTTTATGGTGTGAGTGTCTTTGACTTACTTAGAACGTAAGTAGTACTTTACGTAAAGATTACGAGATTACGAGAAGAAAACACTGACAGTGTCAAGTTTATGGCGTTTATTGATGTTTGTATAGATCCAAGTTTTTGATGCTGCAAATGAGTTGTTATGGTAGTTTTATTGAATAAGTTAATTCACTACGTCTATAATATAACGAACGGACTCAACTGGATGTCATGGACCTGGACAACATGTGGTTTCAGCAGGACCGCTCCACTTGCCACAACAACGATTGTCACAACGCGCATGAAACAATCGATTTATTGCAGCAACGCTTTCCAGAACACATTATCTCACGAAATTCTGATGTAAACTGGCCACCAAGATCGTGCGATTTAATGCCTGATTGAATGATTTTTTCTTTGGGGTTTTGTGTAATCTCGGGTTTATGCGAAAAAACCAGAACCAATTCCTGAACTCAAATCAGAGATCCAACGCGTCATCAGTTAGTTACAGCCACATATCTGTGTAAAAGTCATGGAAAATTTCATGGATATTTTATTCCATACTTAATCGGAACATGTCTTCTTTACAAGCCAATAAAAATATCACAACTCTTTAATAAAATACGTGTTTTTATTTTAAAATGAAAAAGTGCACTCTTACTGAGACACCCTGTATTAAACATTCTACGTTGGCTGTAATGTGTTAATCACACCAATATTATAAACTCTAAACTTTGTATAGATGTATGGATGGATGTATATATGTTTGTTACTCTTTCAGGCAAAAACTCCTGAATGAATTTTAATGAAACTTTACAGTAATATAGCTTATACATCAGAATAGGACATAGGCTATAAGTTATAATTTTTTTATATAAATTGGTCAAAATATTACAATAACTGTCACGTAAGTCTGCAAAAATCTCCCATATACAAGCTATTCTCGCGTGCGCTATAAAAACCATAAGACTTACACGAATATAATGTATGACGGAAATGTAAATCTTAAACAGTTCTACAAAAAAGTCTGCGACAGCATATATATCTATCTCTTAAGGTTGACTCACTATTGGGGCGCAGTGGTCTCTTTCTGTGAAGCTGTAATGCTCCAGAAAAAGACCGCTGGACGGGATGGGAGAGGACCGATCAAGAGCGTAGTTTTTGTGGAAGTGTTTTTCCCCTGGGATAGGGCCTGTTTAGGCATGGTGTCAATTCAGGGAGGACCTGAAATAACATGGTCCGGGTCCTCCCAGAGTACGGCACCTGAGGCCGGCCGTCGGGGTGGTTTTTACTGGAATCACCATATACTCCTGAGTCCCCGAAGAGCCGGAATTTCGAAGGGATTTTCCACCCCAAAAAAAACAAAGAAAAAAAAAGCAGGTTGACTCACTATAACCTTTTTAATGGTAATCAAATTTGTCTCAAAATAATGCATTATTTGAGAAGGTGTTTTATTGACATATTATTAACCCTTATCCAAATTAATACGTTATGTTTCACAAGTATTTAATTGAGAACATAATTGCACTTAACATCTTTTGATTTCAATGAATATCTTAGAAGATATCGCAATTTTAAAATAACACCGCAACAAAATAATGATACCGCGGTGGTGGCGGTCGAGCGACAGCCAGGCGCAAGGCGCAGCGCGCGGCGGCAGGAGCCGCGGGAGAGAACTCTCCCGGCCCGCCAGGCTCAGCAACGGGCTAGGTACCGCAGACGACTCAGGCGTCGGAGGTCGCAGAACGACCGTTGCGTCGCAGAAAGACGAGCGCGTTGCGAAGCGCGCCCGCCCTTCCGGGAGCACAGAGGGAACATGGGGGTTCCCACACAAGGGGGTCGTCTACCCGCCGTAGGTGGCCCGAAAACGTCGGGGCACCAGCGATTTCCTTTCTAGGGTACACCTGGTTCCCCGACTACTGGTACCTGAGACGGCGTGCGGTTTTAGTCGGTTCGAGTCCGACATTGCAACCGGTAAGTGGTATCAGTGGGGATTTCCGCACAGAAAAAAAAAGAGTCGTCTCGGAGAGTCGTCGTCGTCGGAGAAAAATTACGTCATCACCGAGTGTGCAACCCGAACGCGGGCAGCCGCGTGAGGGCAGACATCGTTGATGGTTGTTTTCTTTTTGAAATTTTTCAAGGCACTAGCGATTTGTTAAAAGCGCACTTTATGTATTGTGATAGGTAG